ACAAAGCTTTACCACCTAAATTCACAAGTTTTTGGTGCTCAAGATGGACCTATCCAATCTCCTTAGATGATTTTTTTATTATAATTATTTTATTGTATTTTTTTTAAGAACAAGTGATAATATGAATAATTTTTCAAATGATTTTGTTGTTTTGTAATACCTAATTTTATTTTTACCCGACTTGACTTGGATCAACCCTTTAAACTTACTTTCATTTTGGATTTGGACACAAAGTTAACCTTATGTAAGTGGACCAAAAGTCTTCATTTTTTTAGTTCTCCAAATTGTCCTTCATGTACCTTAGATACTTGTTCCAAAGTATACACAAGAGTAATGTACATGTTAAACTCATGGTGTGTATCTACAATTATCGGATGTGAACTTTTTGGAACTTCTCATAATCACACCACAATTCATCTAACATTATCGTGAATCACCTTATTGGTTAGATTTCTCTTGAATTTTTTGTCTCTTCCACAAAAAATCTTATTCTCCTTTTATCAAAGGTAAATATTTTACAAGTGTTTGTCTTTGACTATATATCTTCTAATGAAATAAATTTGTCAATCAGACCTAAAAAGGTCGTGGGAGATAATAATATATAGACAAAACCTACCCATATTTTGGAATATGTTTGGATGATAATGGTTGTAATTATGAAATTTAATGATGGATAATATGTCTTTTATAGACCAAGATTGATATCAAGATGAGGATTTTCTTCATAAGAGGTGGAAATGCTTAACCATAAAGGAAATTATTGACTACATAATTTTTAATATAAACAAATTTCTATAATAGCTTAAGATTTTAGGATATTGTTCTTAAACACAAATATTAGTTAGTGTGAGTAGTCTTATATTTTACTTATTTGGAGTAATATTTCGACGAGCTTATGAAAGTTTAGAAAAATAGTATAAACTGTTTTAGAGTTTTGACTTATGAAAAGAAGTTATTATAAATATATAAATAACATAGGTGTTGAGTGTTCTTATAATAGTTCTATTAAAATAATTTAATAAGTTTATTCAAATGAGACTAGTAATAGAGTTTAAGTAACAAAGTGATTAAGAATACATTCATATTTTTCCCTTGTTCATTTAGAATTAAGTAAATACATAAGAGTATACATGTTAGATATAAAAATTGATCTTAAGCTTCTACACTAGTTAATAATAAATACTACAAGAAAATTATTAATTACTGATGGATATTTACGGACGAATATGTAGCCATCGGAAAATATTTGATTACCAACGGATTTAAAATAGTTGTGGAATTTAGTCTTACTTGACGGATATATCCGTTGGTAAATTAACAATTAATTACCAATGGATATATCTATCATTAAATTAACATTTTTTAAATGAACAATTAGTTATCGATAAATTAACAATTAGTTACCGAACGAATATTACTAACGGATTTAAAGTATATTTTTAAAAATCAACCTTCAATTAAAAAAATTAAATATTTAAAATTATATAATAATTACTTAATTTTAAATATATTCTAATAAATTAATTATTCACCTAATTAAAAAATTAAATAATTTTTTATTTAATAATTTAATTTAATCATAATCAGATTAAATTATAATAATTTATTAAATTAAATAATTAAATTTTTTTAATAAATATTTAAGTATTTTTAATATTGAAAAATTATTTTAATATAAGAGTTTTAATTAAATAATAGATAAAAGAATAAATTAAAATATAATAAAAATTAAAAAGAAAACAAATTATTTTATATCATTATATAAATAAATTATAAAGATTATATTCTATCATTAAATTATAGACTCATATAAATAAACTCACTCATAAATTTGACATCAAAATTTTGAAAACTCACTTGACACACACTTTTACTTTCGAGCACGCCCTCACATCCAACATATAAATATATCAAAATATATAAATATATTTGTATTATATATTTTATATTTATATATTTATATGGATATATATATTTATTTGTATATAAATATAATTTATTTGTAAATTATTATCGAGAAAATCCTAGTAGCTTAGTGGTTGGAGTATCAGCCTTCAACTCTAAGATACTCGAGTTTGAATCTTGAATAATAATTCAAAATTCTAAAATATGTAATAAATAAAGGGAGGTGGACCTCTAATTTAAAAAAAATAAAATAAAATACCTACTTACCGACAGATTTTGTCTGTTGGAAATTTTAATTTTTCTTGTAGTGAAAATATAAGATATCTATCAATTTTTAAGTGTTGCATTACATTTCTCCGATGAAGATCATGTTCACTCTGGTACAGTAGTAGGTAAACTTGAAGGGGAAAGATAAATCATTTTAGGTTTTATTGATTTACTCGTGTGATGATTTTAATGAAAAATATCAAAGTCGCGGTATTTATTTCACTCAGATTCAGTTTTTTTACTACGTATTATGCTAGTTTGGGAAGTATTCATGTTTGACATATGTCTATTGTAACCAAAATCTTTGGAGATGATTCCGTAATAACCTGATTTTGATATTTAATATTAGATTAATCAATTAATATCATTGCTAACATAAAGATGTGTTTTTGAAAAAAAAAAAAAAATTAATGTTTCCACTTGTTAGTTCCTCTTTGAATTAATAGTCACTACATTTGGTGAGCACCATGAGAATTTTTCTATCTTGATGCAAATTTTGGTTGATCCTATTACTAGTGATATCCCATAATGGATTTATTAATACTCTCTTATACCTTGATACATATATGCAATATGTGCATTTAGTTCAAAAGGTTTTGCAAATTTTAGAGACATGTATGGACAATAGTAATTAGACTATATCTTTATTTAGAGATTTTGGAGGTTTGGATAATGTATGTCTTGCGTAAAAGTTCAAGTCTCTCCTTTTATGTTAAACTAGTAACTTTTTATCATTATCATTATTGATGATGAAAACTTTATTTTGTACTATATCCCTAGAAACTTATTGGAAAACTTATGGAATTCACTTCAATTCATGTGTATGTATTAGAAGAAACTACCATGGATCCACTTCATGTATGTATTTTCCAAACTACATTGATAAGAGCCTACATTTTTTTTCAATTGAGATTCTTTGAGACGTCTTCCTTCCATTGTAGTTTTATCCTTTTTAATCTTCTCATTAAATTATCTCAATTAATTTTATTTGCACATTGTGTAAGATACAAACATGACATTTGTTGTAAGGTAAAAGATTTGTTGTAAGGTAAAAGATGTCATTCTTGAGTGAAAAATATCAACATTTAATATGAATATCTATTTATTGTAAACAAATTTGTATTATGTTATTTCTATGATATCCTTTTCGCACTAACTTTTCTAGGTTGACATATAACTTAATAATCTCGTACATGAGGCACTTATTGAATATTTTTATTTTATTTTAGAGTTTAAAAACCTTTAGTTATGCTCTAAGTATTTATCATTTTTAGGTAAAACTTCTTTAACTTAATTTCAAACTTAAAGTATCTTATAACTTAATCTTATATCTTGATAATCTTTAGTATAATTTCATATTTTAAGTATATCTTGCTCGATTTCATGTTCTAGAATTTCTTTGTACTAAATTCAATGTTTCAGTGTTATAAAATTAGTTAAACTATTAAATTTAGAATAAAGTTATCATATGCTTAATAATAATAAAGTTATTTTATATTCTATTCAAATTTTATGAAATATTTTTTTCTAAGTCGGACATACAATTTTTATTAAATATGACTATTCACATAATTTTATATATATATATATATATATATATATATATATATATATATATATATATATATCCAATATGAAATACTATTTAGTCACCTGAAATTGAGATCCATTTTCCTTTTCTTCTTAGAATTAAAAGTTCTATATTTTATATATCGATACAATTAAACAATTGGATTTTCAAAATAGTATAAAATGTTTTGAATCGGTGTTATTTGAATCAGATAATAAACACACACAAATTATTTCATAACTAAAACTATAATATTTCAAAATTCCTATTTTCTATAAAAAATATATTTTAAACTCTTACTAAATTATTTAAAATTTTAGATATAAAACTCATACACCATAATATTCTCTCCTTATAATAAATAAATCATTATATCATAAACATTTTTAACACTAAGTCCTTCACCGACTATTTTTACAATTTTTTATTATTTCATTTAATGTTATGAATTTTTGTTTGTAAAACTCTTTATCCTCCTTATTGCGTAATCATATTCATCTTCGTAATGTTTACATAATATTATTTAGTTTTTGGTTTGTAATCTTATATAAATACTGGCATTCAATACACCCAGTTATTATTTTTATAAATAAATTAGTTACTATAGATAAATAATTAAGTACTTTATTACAAAAAAATCAATAACTTCACTTATTATTTTAATATATATTATCAATTATTTACATATTTACAGATTAAATAATAATAATAATTAAATAAAAAAATTTAGAAGTCTATATATAATAACATACCCTTTTAGGAAAATCCTTTGACTTGATTGAAGAAAAAAAAGAACTTCTACAAATATAACTCTCTCTGGATGGGATAAAGAAGACTTATCTTATGTAAGGCTCAACCAGGAGGAGATCAAGATCAAGTAAAAGTAAATTTGGTATAATAATAATAATAATAATAATAAATTAATGGTAACGGTCCAAATATAAGAGAAAATGATTAAAGGGAAAATAGAAGGTGTGCAGTGCAGGTCCAAAAGCCAAATATTGGAACTGCGAAACGGTGTGTTGCAGTGCAGACATCCCCCGTTTCAAAGTCGTAGCAAAACCCGACAACCCACCTGAAAGAGAGCAGTCAATAGCAGTCAAAGACACATATACCCCGACACAACACTCCCAGCTTTCTCTCACTACGCACTCCTCCGTAACCCGACAATCAACAAAACAAGAGAAAAGAAAAATAGAAAATGAAACTTCGTGATGGAATCATAAACTGAACGAACGAAAAGTTGTTGTGCACTGTCATGGAAGAGGAAGAAGCGACGCAGCAACGAGTCACGGCATCGTCCCTTTCCACCGAGTCACTCGCTTCCACTGCTTACGAGGGAGCCCAACTCATCTCGCAAACCCTACTACTCCAATCTTCTTCGCCTCCCCGCGACAACGCTACTCGTGCGTTGCGTTTCGATAACATTTTTTTTCTTCTCTCTGTTATTTTATTGATAGAGGTGAGTACTGAATAATAGTGTGTTGATGCTGCAGATATGCAAGGAAGCTCCACCGCATGTAAGATTGGCCGAGATGAGAGTAAGGTTAGAACACCTGTGTGTTAAATATTTAATCTTTTTAAAAAATTGAGTTTGTGATTTCAAACGCGTTATTCTATTGAATTTTTGAAATGTTCTGGATGGTCTCAGCCACATTATAAACAGATTCTAGCCGTTATTTGTGCTTTTTGTTCTTATGAGTGCTGAAGGTATAGGTTTAGGATGCGTATGGCTACTCAACTTTATTTAGTGCTTATTAAATTAGTGTTTATCGTGTACTTGTGTAATAGATGTTTCTAGAATCCAAGATGAAAAAAGGTTTAATTGTTTTCATGTTAGTTGTAAACTGTTTATAAGTTATTTAGAAGGTCTATTGAAATGAGCTGAAAATATAGATATATCATAAGCTACTGTTACAAGATTTTCCAAATAAGTGTTTATGTCATTAGATAACCCCGATTAAGCTGTAATCAAGCTCTTTAAACACAGCCTCTTTGGATTTCTCTGTCACTGTTTTAAGAACTTGGCTTTTGGATGTGCAATTTGAAACTCATGGACTGCTTGAAAGTATCATGCCTGCTGGCCTTTAAACTTATATGTGAGGCTTAGAAACCTGGGATTACATGAAGCTTATAAAAGAAAATGAGATTCCAGACTCTAATTATACAATAATTCCAATATAGTAAAAATTAATTGACTAAATCTAGCTGAAAAATCCAGTTCTTGGTATTTGGTATTAGATCTTCCATAAATAAGTGGATGAGAGTTTGATACTTTGATTCATGCTGTGAGGAGTGGACCAGGCCTCTCAAAATATCTAGAGTGTGTATCATTCTTATAGGTAATATTCACACTATCATTGAATAAAGATAAACTTTTCTTTCTACATCTGTCAATAGCTCTATCATGATGCGATACTTCTGGGTTCAAATTATGCATAAGAAAATTTTATCTTCTCTACAATCTCATTTTATTCTCAGGTGTCAGCTCAGCATCCTGATGAGGAAACTATTGTAGAAGATGCAGTTGAGGCACATAAAAAACAGACAGAAAATCAACTTCAGATGTCTGTTTGTTCAACATCATTATTTAAACCATCACCAACCTCTGTGTCTCAGAATTCACCATCTGCCCCTAGTCCAACTATACCAGAACAACGATCATCTCCTCCTAAGGCTAATAGTGTACCAGTGCCAAAAGTGGAAAAAGGAACTCCTTCTGATGGTACAATCTTATCTTCTGTTTCTGTTGCAAGGGCATCTCCATCTGATGGATACAACTGGAGGAAGTACGGCCAGAAGCAAGTGAAGAGTCCTACAGGTTCTCGAAGTTATTACAGGTGTACCCATTCAAATTGTTGTGCTAAGAAGATTAAATTTTGTGACCACTCAGGATATGTGATAGAGATTGTTTACAAAAGTCAACATAGTCATGATCCCCCACACAAAATTGATTCTCCCAAAGAAAGTAATCTCGCACCTGCCAGTGAACCTAAAATAGAGTGCAGTGTTCCAAAGCAGTGTAGCAGAGTTCTGAATGATTCTGATCCATCATCTTCTCCAAAGGAATGTTTATATGAATCACCTTGCAGTGCTAATAAGAATCTAGAAAACTCATCGAATGGTGAGAATGGTGTAGTTTTGTTGAATGAAGAGCATGTTATTGACCCCAAGCCAAAAAGAAGGCAAGTTGCATATGAATTAATTTTTTTCATAGGAAAGTATTTGAGGAATAAACTCTTTTTCTTGTAATGTAGCTTGATGTTATGGTCTAATGCACTTCTCCTGAATATGACAACTAGATTGAACAAAGGTGATTTAACTTGCTTGGATTCAGCAGTAAAATCTGGAAAGAAACCAAAGTATGTTGTACATGCAGAAGAAGATATGGGGATATCAGGTGATGGATACCGATGGCGCAAATATGGACAAAAATTGGTGAAGGGAAATCCACATTTCAGGTTCATGGCTATACCTTACTTTCTTTGTATATTTTAAATAATTCCCCTATTCATATAATTCTGTTCTTCTATGGAAGTTGTAGATGTGGAATTTTATAAATAAATTCCCTGTTTGAATTGGTTTTAAAAGTTAACCTAAATGATGACTGTGGTTTATATTATTTGGTGGTAAGGATCAAGACACTAGTACATTCAGTGTCAAATCAATTAAAGATATTGGTTTCACAAAAAAAAAATATCACTTTTCATGTATGGCATTGTTTTGGTTGCTGAAGAAATGGAATGCTTAGAAATGTTTGTGAGTGTTTTGTTTTAAATATAGGCTTGTCCCCTTTTAATATTCTAAGAGATGCTGCATCCTTTATGGAAGTGTGTCTCAATAACAGTGAGATTAATTGGATCTTCAAGAGAATGCAGATGGACATCAATTGTATGCCATTCCTTTCCGTTGCATATATTCAAGTTACAGTAATTGTGATAATCATCCGTTACAAGTTGATATCAACAACTTGTGAACTCGGTCAAAACATAATTTGGCTCTTTCTTGAAATCGAGGATAGTGTGATTAAGTGGTAGAAAATTGTAACTGATAAGCTATTCTGATATACTTGGCACCCAGCTTTTCAATTAACTATGTCATGCACTTGATATTAAAATAATATTTGTATTCAATATTTATTTAAAAAATAAAATTGTTTTAACATATCTAACAAATTGAAGATGATTAGTTATATTATAATTGAAGATGAATTTTCCGAAGAGGTACCTTTACTGAAACCTTTATTGAAAAATTTTGGCAATCAACATGAGGCAATGGTAAAATTTCTCCATGCCCAGAGCAGATTGAAAAGACAAACAATCATGTGGGTTATGTTAAATCCATCAACTTCGAAGAACACAAGTGTCATTCTCTAATTTCCAGCAGATCATGGAAGCTGTGAAAGAATTACAATAGTAGAATGAGAAGGCAAGGCAGTCTGCGTCTCGAGAACAAAGAATTCGGCAACAGATGGAGGAGGAGAGGGCACTATTATGTGCCTATATCAATAGTCTCAGCTAGAGGGGGACATCGATGTTAAAGTAATATGCGATTTCCAACCATTTTCAATAAGAATTGCAATGCAAGGGATCCCATTCCCCTCAATACATGGTACCAATGGTGGTGTATTTCGGTGGTACTCAGGATCCAAGCAAACATTTAAGGGTTTTTGAATGCAAATGCTCACAAGTGAAGGGACATATGGTCTTCAATGCAAAATATTCATCAATACATTGATGGAAACGACTTAAGACTGGTTCAGCAATCTCTCTAATCACCTAATCATTTATGGAATTATCACAATGGTTTTTATGGCCCAGCTTGCAGCCAACCAACAACCTCTTGTAATGGTAGATATCTTTGACATGCATTAGCCAGAAAGGGAGTTGTTGAAGATGGAGATCCGAACGAGGAGATATTTGTGGCCACTTTTGCACTCAACCCTTTTGAGGGACAATGCCACTAAGTTGTTGTCTTATCCTCCTCGTAGTGATTTACTGAGGGCATGTACAGGGGTAAATGGTGCGAGTTTCACATAACCCACAATCATATCATGGAGAAATGCTACATCCTCATCACAGATAGATCATGAAGGTCACCTAGTGATGTTGCTAGGTGGAAGGTGAACAATGAGAAGAGAGGGAGGATCAACGTGATTGCATTAGATGTGATCCAGCCTAATGGTCTGGCTAGGTGCAATTGATAGCGATGGACGAGCACTGAGACCTATTGTTAGGTGATTTTAATACCATAGTAAAAGGCTTTTTGGGGGGAGGATATACTAGTCTGGTTCAAAAGAGGTACTCGGTTGATATTGGTTGTGTCAATGACAAATACCCCACTATCAAATACCTATCTTTTTGAGTTGGAATGTTAAGCGAATTTTAGTTGATCAAGGCAATTCGACAAATGTGCTATTCTTGGATACATTTAGAAGCTTCCTAAGATTTGTTGCAATCTTTTGAAGATGTATTGGTGGCTTTTTCTAGGGAGCAAGTAGAGGGTGATTGCTATGCTGAGCTAAGAACCACTTTTGGTTCCAGAGCCCAAAAATCACAATGATATAATACATTGTAGTAGAATTACCCTCCTTGTATAATGTTTATTAGAATGACCCACTTCGAAAATAAAAGTTAGGAACAGTTACCTCAACAACCAACTTGAAAGTCAAGTACCCAATTTGAGATGGGACAATGGTAGTAATTTGGGTGGACCAAGAGTAGCAGGAAAATGCTATGACAGAAGCCCGAGGAAATGATGAAGGTTTTGTGAAATGGGGACAAACCATCATGAAGTACACCGCTTGGAATTAGAGCCTTTTCAGTTATCGGATACCTAAACTTGCCAGGGATTTCAAGGAGGTTGACCTAGGGAAAGGGAGGATGTTGAAGGTGGGGGTGAACCTAGTGTCTATGGTACAAAAAATTTGGCTGCCTTATTGGCATGCCTAGCAACAAACCTTGATTTTTTTGTCATAAATTGGCATTAGACCCTTGGTCGATGCCCGTGGCACAAAAAAAGGAGAAAGGTCAAACATGAGATGAGGCATCTTGGAGGAATTGTGCAATGGATCCTCTGTAACGTCATTGATTCATAATCTGATTGTGATTATTGGAAGAAGCTTTACGTGACACTATCAAAATCCACTTTTTGTTTTGCTGTGGGATGTTAGTTTTCTTTTGTTTTATTTGATTTGACTATTGAAATCTTAGTTTTGTGCTTATGAATGTGACGTAGCTTGAATTTTCAGAAACTACTACAGATGCAGTTCTGCTGGATGTCCTGTCCGAAAGCACATTGAGACTGATGTGGATAACGCAAAAGCTCTCATTATAACATACAAAGGAGTACATGATCATGACAAGCCTGTGCCCAAGAAACGACATGGTCCGCCAAGTGCTTCTCTTGTCGCTGCTTCAGCTCCTGCTTCAATAAACAATTTGCAGTCCAAAAAAGGTGTCTTGATACAAGACCAGGAAACTTCTGGTCAATGCCCAGAGGACACAGAAGAAGAAGAATTAACCGGAGAAGCGTTGGAACTTGGGGGTGAGAAAGCAATCGAGTCAGCTCGAACTCTTCTAAGTATAGGTTTTGAAATTAAACCTTGTTGAATACATCTTTCAGAAATCATGTACTTTTAGTGGCGTCCCATGTTTGTCTTCTCTTGTGTAGTTTTTTAGTTCAGAAGTTTATGTTTGCTTGTGCACATGTTTTGCTTGTCTGTCTGAAACAGCTTGCTTTTACACGAGCGAATTGACTAGTATCATATTCTCATGGAGAGTGAGAATGGGTTAGGATCGTTTTATCATTCAATTTCACTAGCACATTGTTTTGGGTGTAAATAAAAAGGATGAAATGGGAAGAAAGTAGATATAAAAGAAATATTGAATTTCTGCTATTTATTTGAGGAAAAAAAAAGTAGAGAATTTTGGGGCCAAAAACCCTCCCTTCATGTCGGGTTAAAAAAAATAGAAAACATCTCTTGTTCATTTATGTGATACAATAAGATACAAGTTTTCATGACAAATTTTGAAATATATTCAATAATTTTTTTTAAAAATAATATATATATTTTTAAATTGATTATAACTTTTTAAATTAGTGTGATTTTTTATATCATTTAAATATTTATTTTTTCATGTAATTTTTGTTTTTTTTTTTTGTTCATAAGTGCATATTTTTAAGGCAACATTACTCTAGATATATACAAGATCTTTTTTAATTGGACACAACTCAAGTTTATAAATCGCATTTAATTAGACAATCGTATTTTGTTTTTCAATTTATATATATTAGGAATTACACGTATATATCATAATTTAATTAAATAAATATTTGATATAAATTTTAATACACTTTTTCTTAATAAATTTTGATATTTTAAATACCTAGGGTGTTTCAATAATAATCCGATAGTGATACAATGAACTTAAAATATCTTGTTAGAATATTATCTTAAAAAAATAATTTTAACTTATTTTATTAATACAAAATGGAGTGTTTTATATTTTAATTTTAATTGATGTAGAATATAAAATAATGTAGTTATTATATACATGGTTAAAATGTCTATTAATTAGATATCTAAAATCCTAATTTCAAATTCCTGGACTAAGAAATATAGTCCACAGAATTAAGAGGCATCTTCACATGATTGAATTGAAAGGTAGAAGAAATAAAACTTAAAAATTATTAGTTTTTTTTTATAATGAATAATACATAAAGAGAAACTTTTATAAGAACATATAAAATATTGGACATTGTTGGTTGACACGATTAGTAGTATATTGTGTCCCTTAATTAAGTCATTCAGAGATCGATTTCCAGCAATACTATATTAAACGTGGAATAAATCATATTGGAAGGAGATTAGTCACTTTGTGTGGTAACTGATTTTGTCCTTTAATTAAGTGATTCAACGATCAATTCCTTATAATACTACATTAAATGTTAAAAAAAATTATAATGGAAGGAGATTACTCACTAGTGTAAGCTCAAGGTCCCCTATAATATTAACCACTACTTTTGACACTCATTACTAATTCACATCAATGTAATGGTCAAGGGGGAAAAACTTATGAGATAATTGCTATTTTAAATACATTTTCTTTCAAATACACATTTTATTGTTGGCAAAATTTATTGAAAAATATAAAATAAAATAAAAGTGATTTTGGTTCAAATACAATTTAAAAAACAAAATAGCCCATTAAAATTAAAAAAAAATCTATAAACATTAAATTTGAAGAATTAAAATAAATTATCCCATATTTCTTGTATTTTCTTTATTTTTATTTATGGTATTTGTATGAGATAGTTTAGTGCCTCGGAGTGCCAACCAGATTGAGATATTTTATTACTAAGTTGTTTCACTTTTTTTTTAAATTAAATTTATGTGCAAATTTATTTTTATTTATTTCTCATGAATATATATCAAAAAGTTTATTCATAGATTGTTAAGATTAAAAATTATAGTTATTATAACCTAAACCCTATGTTCTATTTCCAAATATGATTTAATGTTCTAGTTTTACATGTGACATTTTTTCTGTTTATAAGTGTCAAAGTATCCCTTGATATATAAAAGCAAATTATCTCTTAATAAATAGGTTCATTCTTGTTAATAAAATGACAGATTCACTTGAATATATATTTTTTTTTAAATATTATATCCGTACAAAACTCTCATGGAACCAGAGGAGTTATTCCAAATTTGCTTCCATATAGATGCTCCTTTTACTAGAAAAGTGTTATTAAAAAAGTGGCGTATATGTTCCAAACAGGAACAATTAGGCCTGGTGTGAGACAATATGCTAGCCCTATTATATTAGTGTAAAAAGAGGTATGGGAGTGAATTCTCTTCTGTTGATATTTTAGACGACCATGTCATGTGAAAATTTTGTCATCTCCTTAAACAAAAATTCTAACAACTGCCCTGTTTAATCAGTATGTTTTCACATGACACAATTACATGCATGAGATAATCCATTCCCAGCGGCAGAAACGTATGAATGATAATCCAAAAAGAAAGATGATCAGAAAAAGTTTAACGCATTACAGTCATAGAAAGTACACCACAGTGTAATTATCTAAGACAAAGTCTTGCCAAGACAATTATTATAAGTTAAAGAACTCCGGATGGGAAAAGAAACAACCGTCACCCTCATGATAAGAAGAGTAAGGTATGACACCTACAAGATCCGAAAATGACATCTGCCAGCATACAACGTAGAAAACATATTAGCAATAAATACAAAACATCAGCACTAGAAGCAAGTCAACTATTACAATATATATATATATATATATATATCGACAAATAAACTAATCCCAGGGGCAAAAAGAAAATTTTCTTTACATGATCCGTTGACAATGACGATAACTCAGATGGAACATTGAATATTTTAAACAATATCTACCCGTTTAACGTTAATCCACACTACCCACTACTTATATTGAGATCAATTAACAATTTTTCACAAATTAACATTTTCCTCCTGGAGTAATAATCAGCCGCTTTGGGCCAAATAGTGTTGTAGCATAGACAAAGTGATTTCATGATTGAGGAAAAGTTCACCAAATATTGGGCCATCCGGCCAGATACAATCAGGAGAATTAGATGTTAAGGATGATGTATTATGATGACCAAAACTTACCGGTACAATATCATCACAAAAACACTTGGATTTTAAATATCATGGTAACTATGGGAACTATTTGTTCCCATTGCCATTTAAGCTGAGCACATTATATTCTTTCGCTCTACCTCACACTTATGTCAAAGAATCTCCTTTAGTAACAAAAATAAAAAGAAAAGGAAGTAAGAAAATCAGGTATCCGTCCAATTGCATGATTACTGTTGGAATACAAGTAGACTTTGAGGCAACAAAACAGCCAAGCAAAAGTATATATCTAGAAAAATTGGAGAGAAATAATAACCTATTAACACGGAAAAAAAGGCTTTAACATCTTTTTGGTCTATGTAATACACTCATCTTATTATTTTGGTCTCGAAATATCTTTGTTGTATTTTTTACCACTGTAATATAAAAATTTATTATTTTAATCATCACTATCAATGTTACGCCTTGAATTGATGATATGACAATTAGAATATCATTTCTCTAATCTTGTATTTTCGAGAGAACCAAACACAAAGAGATTGAGATTGATTGCTTGACAGAAGTTACTGAACAAGTAAATATACAAAATTTGTCAGCTCCAATGACCAGTTTCCAGATATTTTAACTAAATATTTGAGAGGACCTCAAATGCAATTTATATGTTTCAAGCTATGTATATATAATTTGTACGTTAGGGGAGTGTTCGAAAAGAATATTTAATTACATAACTTGTTCACATATGTTAACCTATCTTTACTAAAAGTTGTTTTTCCTTATTAGCTACTGGCACCTACGTGTTAACATCTATACTCTTTGTAATCATTGTTTTTTCTCCTGTAAATAAATGGATCAGCTAAGATATAATTACTCTCTTAAGCTCCTTTATCATATTTTCCAGCAGTGTAATAAACATAACACTGCTTAAAAATGGTAATTAAATTCATTGAATGTTCTTAACTTCATAAAATAAATGAGTGCAATTTCTAAATTACTCTCAACCAAGGTTTAAACATAGAATATTTTTTAAATAATAACATTAAATAAGACTGATTTATGATAAATAAAAAAATGATTTTTTTAGAAATTTAAAGGAGTGGTAGTTTATGTTCAGTTATGTTTACCTCCTTTATAAAAGGAAACTTGTATGATACTAATTAGTAACAGCACACGAAGAAAAACAAAAAAATAGAGACAGCAGGCATACCCCATTAGTCCTCTGCCTTGCCAAGGTCTAGGTGTAACAGTTAAGTTGATCACGATGCCTTGCCTCATAATAACAACTGGTACTGCACGACCCAGATTTGACTGAGCCTCGGAAGAAAGCCTTTCAAGCAAATTATCACCTGCTTCCACATTGCCAAATTTAAGAATTTGATCTCCAAGTTGTAAACCATCCTCCACAGCTGGTGATGCATCTGCTATCTCGTCTACCATTGCAAAGGGTCTACTAATCAACACATCCACATCCATTGAATTGGGGGAATGTCTCACAAGGACATTTTGTGATGTCAGTGATGTAACAGTGTCCATAGTTGATGAGGTCTGAGTATCTGAACCATCACCATTACCTTAGCATTAAGTCAAACCTCATGATGTAATAAGTATTATTTATTATTCATATATGGAGAGTAATCTTATCAAATTAAAGACGGAAGAAAGACTAACACAAGAATTTACTAACAAAAACAATAGCTTCACAAAAACTGAGAATTACACACTTTAACAACAAGACCCATTGACAAACAATCATCTTTTCATACATCACATTATTCTTAGGTTTACAGAAAACTTTGCAATCGGATTTTGTCATCTTTGAGGAGCAGTGGCTTTGTCAAGCCTCTTTGGGCAATATTTTTCATCCATCACATGATTTTGATTGAAAAAAAGATTTTAAGTCCCTTTAGCTGTGGGCAGGTTTTGCAGGGTTAATGTGCTTATTGTTTGAGGAACTGCTAGAAATGAGTTGTGACAGTCTTGATGCTGATGAGATTGGCAGCAAGGGGAGGGAGGTTGCTATTATGGATTTGCAGCGGAGTTGCTTTTTCAGTTGATGGTATCCCTTTTCTTGTACATTTGTCTTAATAGGTTTTATTATCCATCTTATATGAACTTCTCTATTATTTTAACATATTATTCTGCCCAAAGGACAACCTACAAAATGCAAACTAAAACCTATCTTCAAATAGATAATAACACAACAAACAGCAGATCACATGAGCAGGAAATCACGTTGGTCAGATTCAACACCTAAAATACTACAGCAGGTTTAGACTTCATATTTTAGAAGACTTCAGCATGAATACGTATTATAACTTAAACAATAAACAGAAGAAGTAATGATTTGCACAACAATTTTGATTATACCCCTGTAAGCTAATGACAAAGAGATAGACTATAAAAAGTTGTCATAACTTGCGATAAAAAAGAAAATGATGGCATTGGCATAGGATGGAGGACCCAACATCAAACTTGACAAAGCACAAGGTTGCTCCAGAAAAATGTGATCCCAACTCACGCCCTTAGTGACTAAGCAAGCAGGTACAGAAACTAGAAGGCAAGGCAGATAAAAACAGGAAGGAAAAAACCATACAGAGCAGAGACACAACCTTAGAACCAGAAGTATCATTTAATTTATGCTATCGTATTTCATAAAGAATAACGGCACTGGCAGTAATACCCATAACAGTCAATCCTCCAGGGCCCAAATAACTCAATTTTCTCCCATGAACTATTTTGGTCAATGGATTAGTTTGATCCAAAACTTGAGATAATGGATGTAATCCAAAAAAAGATTCATAAGTTGTTGTTAATAGAGTTGAAGTCACCAAATTCTGAGGAGTCGGTATCCATTTATGTCTAATTGCTCCACATATAGTTCCTCTAACCATATTTTCTAAACGAACCAGGGCCAATCCAAATTGATCTTGTAATAGATCATCAGAAACGAAACTTCAAAAACCCGAACTCGATGGTTAAAAGTGCAGCTAGACCACTATGACTCACCTTATTGACAGACAAAACCTAAGTCCACAGTAGCATATAAAATCAAAGTTTCAAAATTTGTATATGCATAAACACTGACTCTTTGGTGATACCTGGATTCTTGTAGGCAAATGACCTATTTCCAAGTCTTGCTGAATGCAGAATTTGAATATTTTGGTTTATTTGCTCACTTATCTCCTTGTGGTCATTGCGCAACTCTACAAAGAGAACGAAAATCATTAGATAATACAGCATCGGCATGTTGACGCTTGTACAGAAGCAATTGAACAAACGTAGCAGTGGTTCGATGCGCGAATGTGCGAACCTGCAAGACGACGTCGTTCGGCTCGAACAACGAGGATGTCGGTATCGTTGGGAGGAAAGCCCTAGAAAATGAAGCGGAGGCGTCTCATAAAAGAACGAATGAATAAATGTTTATGCAAAGCTTTGGAATGAATAGATGGTTGAAATTAGAGGTGTGAGAAAAGAAAGAGAAGGGGAAAACCTCAGAATCGACGAGGCTGCCGGAGATACCAGGAGCTCCGGGCTGAGAGAGGCGAGCGATGATGGCGTTCATCTCAGCCTCCATCGCGCTTCGCTTGTCCATGAGTGACATGGTCTCTGCCTTCACGTTCGTCGCCACCATAGTGCCGTTCAAGAGAATGGTGGACCAAAACACCAGTTCAATTTCCTTTTAAATTTTCTAAAATAGGTATTTTGCTTTTTAAATTCGAAAATAGATATTTTTTTTAGAAGTTGGTAAATCAGTAAATCGTATTTCAGAGAAAAAAAATGGGTTTAAAATGAATTTTTTACTGAAATAATATTATTATAATATATATACAAGTAACTGAATCAAATTATTTCCTTAACCGGATCTATTTTCCTGTTGTATTTGAAATTCGATTATCTATAAACCGAATTTCAATTTTAAAATTATCATTTTTTAAAATAAAATATATAAATAAAAATAAAAAAATTATATAAAAATAATATTAAAATAAAATTTTAATTTTAAAATTTAAATAATGTTTATATATAAAATAATATATTATTTAAATATATATTAAATTATCTAAATATATTTAAATAATTATTAAAAATATTAAATAATAAATTTTTTATTATATTTATATATATATATATTTATTTACTTTTGAATAGAAAATTTAAAATTTATATATTTTTTTAATTATATGAATTATTTAAGTTATAATTTTAGAAAAAAATTGATAAATTTAATATATAAAATATTAAAAGTAAAATTAAAAATAAGTTATTAGTAGCAAAATAAAAATTATAGAACATGATATTAAAGAAAAATAAACTTATTGAAATAGAAATAAATGATAAAACATACCTTCTAATTGAAAAATGATAAATTATAAAAGACATACATAGAAATTGAAATGACTTAAATGAAAATGAATTAAAAGAATTATATCGACGAAATCCAAAACGTAATAGACGTCGTCCTCGTCGTGAAGCTGGACACCACTTTGGAGATTAAAATTTTCTTAACATTATTGTCAATAATTTTATTTTTCAATTTTTATTATCAATGATTATGTTATTTTTAATATTATACACTAAATTCTATCAATTTTTATTATTTTTTAATTTTAAGTTTATTTTATATTAATAATAATAATTTTTAACTAATTAAATAATATTTTTACTTTATTATTTAAAAAAATTAATTTTAGCATGAATTTTTTAATATAATATTTATAATTTATCAAATAAAAACTATTACATAAATTTTTATAATATAATATTTAATTAGTTAATATATTACCTAAATTAAATTTTTATTTTTATTTTTCTAAAATTATAACTTAAATAATTCACATAATAAAAAAATATATAAATTTTAAATTTCCTATTCAAAAATAAAAAATATAATAAAAAATTATTATTTAATACTTTTAATAATTATTTAAATATATTTAAATAATTTAATATATATTTAAATAATTTAATATATATTTAAATAATTTATTTTTTATATAAATATTATTTAAATTTTAAAATTAAAATTTTATTTTTAATATTATTTTATTATTTTTAATTATATATTTTATTTAAAAAAAGTGGTAAGTTTAAAATTGAAATTCGATTTATAGGAAACCGAATTCTAAGTATAACAATAAAAGAGATTCGAGTTAAGTAAATAATTTTATGAGACGTTCGAGTTAAATAAATAATTTTATGATGTTACGTTACGTATATATATATATATATATATATATATATATATATATATATATATATATAATAATAATATTATTTTAGTAAAAAAGTCATTTAAAATACAACTTTTATTTCTTTTTTTAATTTTTAATACTAAATTATATTTTAATATACTACTTTTGTTTTTTACATTATAAACTTCTTTAGTAAAGTCCTACTTATACGTTATTTTATTTTATTTTTTATATGTTTTAATCTTTCTATAATTATATATTTTTATTATTAATTATTAAAAATCATTATTATTATAATCCTATTATTTATAATTTATATTAATATTAATTATAATAATAAATAATTAATATAATTATTTATTAGATTTTTAATTATTATTATTATTAGTATATATTATTTTGTTTTTTAAATAATAATAATCATTTTATTAAATAATAATCAATAAGTAAAATAATAATAATTATTGTTATATTTATTAAATCTAGGATATAGGATTTATATAATTTAAAAATAAATTACACCACTATTATACTTGACAATGTATGTATTATGTTTTATTTCAGTTTTTTTGTTCACGTCATCATTCAAATAAAGTTAAAAACTAAATATGATCTTATGTAATTTGTTTTTAATAAAAAATTTAATGTAATATTTTTGTAATTAATTTTTAATTTTTTTATCATTAAAATTTATTAAATATTTTTAAAAATATATAACATATTGTAAAAAATTATTCAATATTTTATAATAAAAAATTATCGAAGAATATATTTATAATATATAAAAATATACATTATTTTGTTTACTTCTTTTAATTATATGTTTCCTTCGTCTCATCTACAAATAGAAAAAATATAATATATATTTATATTATATTTTTATTTACTTCTTTTAATTGTATATTTCCTTTACTTTTTTATTCAATATAAAATAATAAATTTATTTTTTTACAAATTAAAATAAAAACATAATAAAAATCAGTGGAATGGGTTACACTTGTTATTTTATTTTATTATTCTCAAATTGTTTTTTCTTTTTCTTTATATATATATCTGATTTTTTTTAATTATTTTTATGATGAGATAAAAAAAATGTTATATTTTAAAGAAAAAAGTTACTATAAATTATATATTTCAAAAAATAGAAAAAATATAGAATATTTAAATATATATAAAAAATATAATTATGCAAACAGCAGAGCGCCTATGTTTGAATATATATTAACCATAGGTTTCATTCACACTATTTTCACTCTGGCATAAAAAAAATGTCATTTATTCTTTATTTTTTTAATCACATTACCTCTCCAGTTTTTTTCTTCTTAAAACTTTGTCTCTCAAAAACAAATATTTATATATTTTAATATATATATATATATATATGTATATATATTTATATATTAAATTTTCATAAATAAAAAAAATATAATAAAAATATAAAACAAAGATATTTTTTAAAATTTTATATATATTAGTTAATAATTGGTAGATTATCTGCAATATATACATTAGATCTTATTTTTATATTATAACCATGTTTAAAACCAAAAAAAATTACTTAGAAAAATATGTTGTTACCTACTTCTATAAATATGTTAGGGATAATTATTAGGTTGGATAATTTAACAACAGAATTTAACTTGAGTAGATTAAGTCATATTTTTTTCTATGATTGGGTAAACTTGACCCAATCCAATGTCAATCAGACCCAATTCATTCTACCATATTAAAATGATTACATAACATTAATATTATTAATAATAATAATTTAATTATTTTATTAATTAAATAATTATTATGGAAATATTATATTATATTATTAAATTATTTAAATAATAATTATATGTGGTCTATTTTATAAGATTATTCTAAAAATATATATTTTAAAATAATAAAAAAATAAATTTGTAAACCAATTATCTAATCTAAGTAGGGTTGAATTGGATAGAAGAAAAAACAAATACTAAAACTCGACTTAAACCAACATCTTTTTATAGTAATGAAGAGAGAAAAAACATGTTAAAACATGGATCATGAATTCCTCCACAGGCAATCCATTGTTAATTATTGCATAATTATAATTTATTTGTGTTTAAAAATAAAATGAAAAAAAATTATTTGAAACAGTGTTATTTTGCATTTTGATGAATAAAATATTTGTATACTAAATTATTTGTTCATTGAAATGATTCATTGTCAGGGGAATAGTTGAATTTTAAAAATAGCTCTCAAATAAATAAATAAATAAATAAATAAAAAAGCTCTTCAACACTATTAATTAATTATCATAGTCTTATAATTGTATTCAAATCTACAGAAGAAAAATTGTATAATTGCATTATGTGTTGTCATGAGAAACAAATTTTTGTGTTACTGTTCGAGTATCATGGGTTTAAATTATTTAAAAAAATGTTTTTTACTTTCATTTATAAATAAATGTTCATAAATTGTTTAAAATTGAATTTATTCTTGTGAGAAAATAAATTAATAAATAGGAGTAAAATTATATTGGTTTGGATAACTTCTATTTTTCATATATATTGGATTAAACTCTGACGTAAAACAAAAAACTATTTATGTAGACACTCAGACATATAAGGAAAAGAAGAGGAAACTAAAAATAAAAAAATATTTATGAATGAAAAAATAAAAAAAATAAAACAATCTTATTTATATTAGTCTTAGCAAGTTATTTTACTATTTTATCATACTTATTTTAATATCACTTAATATAATAATCATACTAATAATAATAATAATGATAATAATATCAGATTTTTTATTTTATAATCAAGTAATTAAATACATTATTTTATGAATTATTATTAAATTAATATGTATTTATTAGGATTTATAATAGAATCTCTCTATTTATATCCCTATTCAGCGTAAGATGGCTACAACATTTAATTAAACAAAAACTGTTTATAACATAGAAAATAATTTGAATACTTTTATAATGAAATTACTAAGTATAATTTATCATTCATTTATATTAAAAAATGTTAAATAAATTAATTTAATTTAATTAATTATAAATACAATTTTTTTTATATTCTTGTTAAATCATGCCTTCAACAATAATTTCACAACTTATCTGATAATAAATTTAATTTCAAACTAATTTAATAATGTATAAATGTTTCTTCCACTCAATTATAAACATTCATTTATATATTTTATTGTTTAACTCAAATTTTGTTTTCTTAGAATTTTTAAAATTATGGTCAATGTGATTTAATTATTAGTGCTTCATGAATGCTATTTTTTTAAATAATAATATTTTTTAATTATTTTTATAGTATGTTGTTGTCAAAATAACAAATTTGATATATATATAATTATTAGTCACTACGAAATACACGAAAGACTTGATATCTTGTAAATAGCTTCTTCTTTTTTTCACATTTTTTCACAAAATGTATGATATGATGTTAAGAGTTTTAAAACGATATTGAATTTGTAAACCATTTATAAGTTTTCTATATTTAGATCTTATTAAAAAGATATTAAGAGGAAAGATGATAATTATAGGACAAAAGCAAATATAATCACAACTCATAATAGTATATAGAAGTAACAAAAAATCATTCATTTTGGTTAAATAAACATTTTTGTTACAACTCTTACAAACTTTTTTAAGAATGATTATATTTATAACCATGCCAAAATTAAGATGACAGATAGATAACGAAACAAAGAGGTGGTAAGTTTGACAATATATAAACCAATCTAATTTCTAAACACGCATCTTCACACATAATTTTGTTTATCCTAGCATAGATCGCTATCATGAATATCTTTATCTTTATCTTTACCGTAACTTTTTCTTGTAGTTTCTTTGGTAACGTTGTTTCAAATGTTAATCATCTTCCTTACGAAGCTATTTTCAACTTCGGTGACTCTATAAGTGATACTGGTAATGCCGCCATTAACAACCCTGTTATGCCTAGCAACAGTCCTTATGGTTCAACGTACTTTAAACATCCTTCTGGGCGTATGTCAAATGGACGACTAATCATAGATTTCATAGGTATTGCTCCTCTTTTGTTTCTTCTTCAAATAAGTTAAATAAAATTTCATAACACATGATAAGGATTATATGTTATTAATACCACATTGTTCATTACCCTAACTTATTTTCATCTTAATTTTAGCACAAGCATATGGGTTGCCAATGTTGCCACCTTATTTGAACCTCACAGAAGGACAAGACATTAAAAAAGGAGTAAATTTTGCATATGCGGGCTCAACTGCACTCAACAAATTTTTCTTTGAGCAAAAGAAAATGAACGTAGTTGGAGCAACTTATTCATTGAGTACTCAATTTGATTGGTTTAAGAAGCTCAAACCCTCCCTTTGTGGAAGCAAAGAAGGTTTTACCAAAACTACTTTACTAGTATTTTATTGAATATTTGAATTAATTTTTTTCAATATGTCTATCACATCAATTATTCATTTTCATGACAGAGTGTCATAGCTACTTCAAAAATTCACTGTTTCTAGTGGGAGAGATCGGTGGAAATGACCTTAATGCTATTATCCCACATAAAAATATTGCAGAACTTCAAGATATGGTTCCATTAATAGTGGAATCAATTATTAATACCACCTCGGTATGATATATCAAATTAATACAACTTTATTTTTTTTATAGTTTAATTAAAGTTAATTTGAAATATGATTGAAATTAGAATTTATTTGTGTTTGTATTTGTTAGAATTTAATAGAAGAAGGAGCTGTACAACTAGTGGTTCCAGGAAACTTCCCAATTGGATGCAACTCTGCTGTTTTGGCAACCGTGAATAGTGATAATAAAGATGATTATGATCAATTTGGGTGTTTAACATCTTATAATACCCTAATTGAGAACTATAACGAACAACTCAAAAAGAACATAGAGACATTACGACAAAAGAACACACATGTTACTATAACATATTTTGATTACTATGGTGCTACAATACGTTTATTTCAAACACCACAACAATTTGGTAGGTTGTGTATTTTTTTTATTTTTTTTTGCTAGATGAATAATGTACATTAGATTGCTAATTTTGTTGTGATTTATTTTATCATTTGACTAATTAATTTATGTGATACAGGATTTTCTTCCGGCAAGATTGAGACTTTCAAAGCATGTTGTGGAAAAGGTGAACCTTATAATCTTAGTTTAGAAATATATTGTGGAAGTCCAGCCGCTACAGTTTGTTCAGATCCTTCAAAACAAATAAATTGGGATGGACCACATTTTACTGAAGCAGCATATAGGTTAATAGCGATGTGGCTAATTGATGGTTCTTTTGCTAATCCTTCTCTCAAATCTCCTATTTTCAAGATAGCCTAGAACTGAAGCATGGAGAACAAATTCAAAAGCATATACTTTATCCATATATTTTATACATTAATGGAGGATGTTCCAAGCAAAGAGTTGCTGAGACATTGATCTTGTATTCTTCAATATATAATTCATAATTAGTTATTACATAATTATAACTTTGTATTTTTATTTTTTTTAAGGGAAATGAGACCAAAATAAAAAAATCACATGGAATAAATAGTTATTTTTTATTACTTCTAATGAATGTAGTTGGTATTTTTATACACAATTATTAATTCATTATAATTAATAAAGATATTTTAAATATAAAATAAAATCTATAGTTAGCCCAATTGTTGAATTTTAAAAGTAGTTTTCAATTTATCTTATAAAAAGAGTTCTTTATATTATTAGTTAAAATTACTATCTTATAAAAAAAATATTGTAAATTTTTAAAGGTAAATTTCTTGTTTTATTAAAAAAAAAATTATATTTCAAAGTTAAATAATAAAAATAGTATAATTGCATTGTTTGAGAGAACCTATTTTAGTGTTGTCTCTACTATGGTGTAAAACCATTGATATTCATATTACTTTAAAAACATGTTCCTATATCATACAATATTATGGTTTTTTAATGTTTCTTTAAAATCCAAATAATATAAACTTACAAGCAAAAACTCATTTAAATATATTAAGACATTCATAGTTTTTTTTTTTCATTTAATCTAAACAATTCCTTCCTCTTTCTCTTTTTCCTTTCTCACTCTCTTACTTTCCATCACCTCATCTAAACAAAACATAAGGAAAACTTGCATTGAAAATGAGTTTTAAATTATTGTAATACAGTGTACACATATTAGATTAGCATAACTCAATGTATCATTCTTTGTCATACATTTTAAGATATGTATTGCTATACATATACACACATATAAGATTTACACATTACATAACTATATATAACTCAAGTTTTTGGTATCATCTCTATTATTTTCTATTATTCATTTATGACTTTTGTTGGATGTAAAAATAATATCTTGGGTTATAATAACTCTATCAATATTTTTTCTTATATTATTTGCAAGTTAATATATTTTTTTACAATTTGTATGTTATAACAAAGAAGAACGTAAACTTTTATTTTAATCCTAATCCATAGACCTTTACTCACTTTAAGGATCACAACTTAAATTCTAGAAATTATTTTTGAGTGAAATTAATATCATTAGTTAGCTAACATAAAGAGTACGACTTTCAAGCAATAGTTTTTTCTAATTTAATACAAAATACACATAAAAAAAATGGATAGTGTTTTTTAAAAGTGAATGTATATTGTATAATATGTCCTAGTGATAAATGAGCTTATTACATCAATATATGAATATTTTTAGCCGAAGCATATAGATTTCTTATGGTGTAGTCTATGAATCTCATTAAAAGACCTTAATATGCTTATGTTGGTTTAATCATATTTAACAATATTTATCTTTTAGCAAAAAAAAAATTATTGCATTGACAACTACTTATTCATTAAATACTTAACTTCATTGGTTTAAGAAATTCAAATCCTCCATTGTAAAACGTACCAAAACACCTTTTCTAGCATTTTTGTTTAATATTTGAACTTTTCTTTCAATATGGCTAAACACATTTATTCCTTTCTATGATAAGTCTGATAGTTACTTAGAATTTATTGTTTTTAGTGGAAGAGATTGGTGGAAATGAACTTTAAACAATTATCTTGTATAAAAATGTTACATCTTTAAATTATTAATATCTCCTCTTTTAAGTTATATCAATTTTATATCAATTTCCATTTTAATAGTTTGATTAAAATTGATTTGAAATCTAATTGATCATATATTATTTTTTTCTGTTTGCTAGAGAGAGGAATGGAATTAGTTGTACCATATAACTTTAAAATTAGGTGGAACTATTTTATTTTGGCAAGCATGACTAATGATAAGAAATATATCTATGATTAATTTTGTGATGTATGAAAGGTTAGATAATTAAAATGTTAGTCTAAGTTTTACATTTGGGTAAGAAGAAGCAAGTTGAGTAACTTATAAAAAAATATAATCAATAATTTAATATTTATTGAGTAATGTTAATGTTAATTTCTTACCTAAATTGAACTCCTGTCTCATTTATATTTTTACGTGAATCTTCTCTTAAAAGATTAAATTGAATATTATAACAACAAACTAAAACGAGATATAAACACGACGTTGAAAGTCATAACTTTCAACATCGATTCTAATAAACCGACGTTGAAAGTATGATTATTTTTCAAGAGAATTATCATTAGCAGGATTTGAACCCAATACCTTAGAGTTGGAGGCCGATACTCCAACCACTAAACTACTAGAATTTTCCGATAATAACTTACAAATGAATTATATTTATATACAAATAAATATATATACGTGTAAATATATAAATATATAAATACAAATATATTTATATATTTTGATATATTTATATAGTTATATATTTATATGTTGGATGTGAGGGCACACTTGAAAGTGAAAGTGTATGTCGAGTGAGTTTTCAAAATTTGATGCTAAATTTGTGAGCGGGTATCTTTATATGAGTTTGTAATTTAATGACAGAATATAATCTTTATAATTTTATTTATATAATGATATAAAATAAATTTGGGAAACGCATCATTCGCTCTCAGCGAAAAATACCAATTTTTGCTCAAGCGAGGCTTGAGTGAGTGAATTTTCGTGAGCTTTAATATATTTTCACTCAAGCAAGAGTCAATCTCACTTTCATCCTCGATCGAAAAATACCAATATAATTTATTTGTAAGTTATTATCAAAAAATTATAGTAGTTTAGTGGTTGAGATATTAACTTTCAACTCTAAAATACTTGGATTCAAATGCTTGTCGATGACAATTCATTAACTTAAGTGAATTTTTGGCTGAAAAAAAATAAAAATACTTTCCAGAAAATATATACAAATAAATATATATTTACATAGATATATATTTATTTGTATATAAATATAATTTATTTGAAAGTTATTATCAGAAAATTATAATAGTTTAGTGGTTAGAGTAAAAGTTTTCAATTCTAAAATCCTGAGTTCAAATCTTGTCAGTGACAATTTTCAAATTTAAGTGAATTTTTGGGTAAAAAATAAAAAAGACTTTCCACGTCAGTTGACTAAAAACCGATGTAGAATGTGTTTAATATTCAACTTTCAACGTCGGTTCATCCGGGAACCGACGTGGAAAGTACTTTCTACGTCGTCTCAGCCTATAACCGACGTTAAATGACGACGTAGAAAGTATATTTTGTAGTAGTTATTTATTACACCAACCTATTATCATTTTAATTATAGCCCAAACATATGAACTATCAATATTATCTAACCTTACAAAAGGACAATATATTAAAAAAATAAGTAAGTTTTGCATAAGTTAAGTCAACTCCACTTAAAAAAAAGAGTACAATGAAAACTATTTATTCATTTAGTATGTAATTTGATTGGTTTAAGAAGCTCAAATTTGTCTTTTACCAAACATTTTTACTAGTAATTTTCCTGAATATTTAAATTTATTTTTTAATATGGCTAACAACATTTATTTTTTTAATGAAAGAATCGATAATTACTTAAAAAAATCATTGTTTTTAGTAGGGGAGATAAGCGAGGACGACCTTAATACTATCATCCTTATAACAATATTTCAAAACTTAAACATTTGAACCAATATAAAAATAAAGTGTTTTTATCTTTTATCTTATTTACCTTTTTACTTAAGTTACATTTTGAACACTTGTTTTAAAAAATGTTTTATTATTTGTAAAATATTTTCGGAAACCTTGTTTAGTATCAAACAACAACTTTAAGTCATCTAATCATATCTATTATCAGATGACATCTCTAGTCATTTGATCAACTTATTATTAAACTACATATTTGGATTATCTAACGGTTCATTGCAAAAAAAAATTTAACTCTATTTATCATCTTTTTGGAGCTAACCTATGTTTTTATGTTAAGTTCATTTCAAAGTCCAAAATTATTAAGTATAAGTTTATTTGAGGTTACTAATGTATATCATTTTCATTTAAATAATAATATATTGTAAACAATAATATTTTATTATTATCATTATTTAAAAAAAAAAAACATTCATGAAGCACTAATAATAAGAATTTTCAAGACTTCTTTCGTTGGAAGTTATCCCTTCGAAAAGTGATTTACTTTCTTATTTTACAAAATATGCCCAAACAATAAAGATTAATAAGGAAACAAAATAAACCAGGCTAGATAATAACTATATATGATCAAGAAAAATGAAAATCATATTCACAAACACATGGTAGGAATGTGTTAAACATCTAAGACAATACAATTTTCATCGATAAAAAAGACAAACATATAAAAGTTGTAGGAGCTTAGCAATGAAAATTGGTAATAAAGACCAAAATTTTAGAAATAAGAATGAAAAGAAATTGAAATAGTGAACATAATGGCAAAATGTAGTAGCAGCGGAATAATGATATGCAACGACCAAATGAAACAGTGCAACAATGGATGTAGAGACAGAACTTGCAACAAATTGGGTATAGAATGTAAACTTATTCTAATTGAGATTTTAATTGATTCAAACGAAGTTTGAAAAACCAAAATTCCATGGATCAAGCTCTAATAACTTAGGTTTTTCTCGCATAGGACAGTCTCCGAGTTTCACCCATTGTTTTGCCTTTATCTTGTGTCCTTGTGTGTTTTACTAAATGCGTATAGGTTTCAAGGTGTTTACATGGTTTGCTTTGGCGCAGGATTGTAACAATTTATGCCTTTAGTCAAAGAAGCAATTAATTTATCAAAACTCATGAACATTGGTTAGGTTTTGGTCACCCGTGATTTGCCATGATAATATGATGGTTTGGTCGGGGAGTCATGGTTACTCACAGAAGAAGAAGATTAATAAAAAAACAAGATGATTGCCTTTGGAAGAAAAACGGTTTGTATGTTACAAATACCAAAATCATGTAAATGAAAATTATGAAAAGAGGAAAGAAATGAAAAAGGATGTAAGTAAGATAACCATCAAAAGAAAATTCTTCACTTGATGTAGGAAAACTCTAAGATAAAAATTAAGAAATTGATCCTACCTCTAGAGAAATGTTATACAAGTACTTCAATCTTTTATTTAATAATCAAATTGAACTAGTCCATAAATGATATAAGGAAAATACTTGTGAGGGTTAAAAGGTGCCTCCATTTCTTGAGAAACATACTTAAATGCAATATTCATACAAAATATATATATATATATATATATATATATAATTGTAATTTTGATGTACAATAAGACTTTGAAAAGAGGACGTTTGACTTACTTTGATCTAATATTACGATTCAAGTAAAAAAATTAATTAATAATTTAATTTGGATGACCATAATTATTGGCCTAGTTTAGTCATATGTTAAGTTAACCTATTAACAAGTTAAATTTGTGCTTTATTAAAAATTAAAAAAATTATTAACGTCTTTATATCAAAATAAATAATTAAAAAATATTTAAATTAAAAAAATATTTTTAAATTATATTAATAAAATTAATTTTTATTTCAAATATAATAATTTAATAGATAAATTATAAAAAAAATCATTCAGTTATAAAATAAGAGTTAAAATTTTATTATTTATTATCATTTTTAATTATTTTAGTGATTTTATTGATTTAAAATAATAATTCATCTTAATTATTAAATAGTAGAATAAACAATTTTAGAGACTTTTTCTTATATTTACTCTTAAAATAAAATAATAATTTCTCTTATATATTTTTAATAAAATAATATTATTTTTATTTTTATTTAAAAAATAATTATTATTTTATAAAATAGATTAACTCGTCATAATCTTACATACTTATTTTGTGTAAGTCTATATAGATTATGATTTAAATAAAATAGACAAAAATATGTTTGATTTAATTTAGACTACAAATTTTAACATATTTCTCACAAAATTTTAAGTTTATCCATTAAATTAAATCTATTTTCACACCCTTATCTTAAGCTAGTATAAGGAGAGATGTAACGAAACTCATGCTAAGGGAAAATAAACCTAAACGAGATTGATTAAAAGAAACTAATCCCAAAATATACCAAACACAAAAAAAAAAACATTTTTTTTCAAAAGAGAATATATTTTGTTCTATTCTAATAAACTTTCTAGCTTCTTCTTTTTATATAATAATCCTTATCTTATTCTTCTTACATTTGTTGGAGTATTTCTTTCCTTTCTCTTGCCTTAGTCATAGCTCTTGCAATTATTTCTTATTAAGTATTATCTTTGAAATTTTTGAGCTTATAGGACAAGGTGAAGAAATAAATATCTATCCTATGGATGTTATAAACTCAGTTTTGAAAAAATAAAAAAATGAAGAGGATGCAAACTTCATTAACTTGCATTATTTATAAGAAGTATTTCAAGCTCTTTTATAAAGATAAAAAAAGTCTCAAAAGAGGTAAACTCTTCATTAAAGGAACAATACAAAGATTTTGAAAAACTTCAAACACGTGCCTAAGGAGAGTGGGAGTTCTCGTCACATGAAATATCTATGTTTCTTGCGTCCAAGGAATGATGAGACAATCACTTATGAAAGGAATTAGAAAAGAAACGATGGTAGAAGTAAATAGAAAAAAAAAATATCTTCCTTATCTTTCTACAGGAAAAGTTTTATTGTGGTTTAACTTTGGATACCTTTGACATCGATCCCTGTGTTATTGCAATAGGAGATGGAGGAAAGAGAAGCCATGGAAGAAAAAGTATTAAGAAAATGAAAAAAAAAAGAAAAAGAAAAAGCAAATGGGTATCCATCCAACCTTTTATTTAGATAAACCAATATTGAATTGTAGAAACATAATAAATTGGAGAGATCATATAAAATTTCTCAAAGAAGTTAAACTTTCAGGAAAGGAAAATGGTTTTATTAGTAGAATCAACCAAGGAGTACTCACCATTGGTTCAAGGTTGGAAAAGGGAAGAAAAATAATGAATGCCGTACATTTAGGGGTTCTATCAAAGTTTATTTTATTGAAATCTGAAGAAAGAGAATAAGATGGAGAAAGAAGAAAAAGAGAAGAACAAAAATAAATTATTTAAAATTAAAAAAGTTACTTCATTTTAGTTCTTGTAAGTAACAATTACATGGAGGAAAATATGAGAGTTAAAATATCATTTTCGAAAAACTACTTTAGCGTAGATATTTCATGTTACCTTTGGCGAGCCAAGAAAATGCTACCACACGACATAGAACAACGATTGTGACCGAAGTGGCGAGTGCGATGCACTGTCAAAAAGCCACCCGTCACGATAAGGTGGCACTGCACCCCACGATAAATAAGATAGAGCCTTCCGCACCCGAAAATGGCATCCATAGTTGCTGTCACCTGTGCATTCTCCTCTACTCTCACTACTCAATTTCTCATTCCTTCTTCGTCTTCTTCTCTCTTTCTCAAAACACTCGCTCGAAGGTCTTCCGCACCGTTACGGCGTCTTTCGTTTACGTCACGACCACTGCGCCACCTCATGGCTAGCGCCAGCCTTGGCCTCACTCACCCCGCCAACACCGAACCCCCCAAGGTTGAATTTCGTTCTCCCCATCCCTTAATCTCATTTGAATTTTAATTAACGCTGACTTGACATACCGTGTGGAAATGGAAGGTTTCTTTCGCGGCGAAGGAGGTTGACCTGGTGCAATGGAAAGGGGACCTGCTCGCGATTGGCGTCACGGAGAAGGATGTGGCGCGAAACGCTGAATCGAGATTCGAGAACGCGATTCTGAATGCCTTGGACTCCAAGTTGGGCGGGTTGTTGGGCCAGGCTTCCTCCGAAGAGGACTTCACGGGTAAACCGGGCCAGTCCACTGTTCTCAGGATCGCTGCCGGACTCGGATCCAAGCGCGTCGCCTTGCTCGGTCTCGGCGCATCCGCGTCCACATTTGCTGCGTTTAAGTCTCTCGGCGAGGCCGTTGCCGCTGCCGCCAAGTCCGCGCAGGCCGGCCACGTCGCCGTCGCGCTTGCCTCGCCCGATGCACTCTCCGCCGAGTCTAAACTTAACACCGCTTCTGCAATAGCATCTGGTATTTGTTTCTCTCAAGATCTTCGTGTAGCATTAAATGGTTCTATTTGAATAAATTTCTCAATAAACTCTCGCGAAAACAAAAAGTACAAAAATGAAAACGAAAATAGAAATGTACAAGGAATTGAGTTTCTCAAGTTAAAGTTAACTTAGGATAATATTTTTACATAAACTTCTGCTGAAGTGTACAAATTATAGGAAAAATGTTTTCGTAGTTCTAGTTCTTTCGGTCAAATACTTCCGATTTCATATCGATGAATCTGTTATCGAATTTATAAACCATATGGAGAGAATAAATTCAATTCTTTTATAAAGTTTGAAATCAGGTTCATCATTATGAAAGTACAAACATCTGATCACATTTGATCTATGAGTACCATATAAATTCATACTTTACTTGAATTTTTAAGTTACAGAAGAAGCTTCATGTTATTTTACTTTTTTATTTTTTTCTTCCTATAAGTACAAGCTTATCTAAGCCTATATATTAGTTGAAAGTTGTGATTTTGAAATAAGATGGAGGTGTGTGGCAGGGACTGTGCTGGGAACTTTTGAAGATAACAGGTACAAGTCGGAGTCCAAGAAATCGGCGCTTAGATCAGTGGATATTATTGGGCTTGGAACTGGGCCTGGATTGGAGAAGAAACTTAAGTTTGCAGGAGACGTTTCTTCTGGAATCATTTTTGGAAGGGAGCTTGTGAATTCTCCGGCTAATGTGCTCACACCAGGTTCATATCAAACTAATGTTTATACATTGCAGATGTATTGGTAAATTTGACTAAACATCTTAACAAGCTCCGCAGAGAAAGTTAAACAGAACAAACTTTTGGTAAGAGTTGAAATTAATTTGGACATCTCAACTTTTTCGAAGATATCTAGTCTTCAGTGAAATTTTTGAAATTAAAAAGTTCTTTCAGGTTAAAAGCTAATATAAACCGGGCTATACATACAGATGCACGCAAGGTTGTTAAATTCCACTGTTGATGGCTAACATTTTTATGTTCCAACTCTATAAAAGAGTAGATGACATAGCAATATAGGTCTATATCAGATGCAACAGCTATGCTATGGGCATCATTTTGTAGTTTAACAGGACAAAGATATCAACAATATCGGAAACTTAAATTTCATAAATTAATTCAAGTACTCAACAAAATTGGCAACAATTATGCATTTTGAGGCCAAAATCATATGAAAATTTAGTCTTTTAAATTCAGTAGTAGAATCAAGAATTTACTCTGTTAGTTTAATTGAACTTTTATGAAAAAGAGTTAACTTGCTTTATATTCTAAGGTTGTAAGAATTTAAAAATAGATTCAAGAGGTTCAGCAACCATGTGTGTGGGGCATATCATGCGAATGAGTGAGAAGTTTTAACTTGACCACTAATCTTATGCAGACAGTAAACATTAGCCCCTCTCATGCTCTGATTTGACACCCCCTATATGTATGCATTTGCCTCTTTTTGAAGTGGTGAATTGACTTTAGAGGGAAAAGAAAGGAGTTGTAGCCGATTTGAAAATCAGTGGTTTAGATTGTGATAAAATGCAATATATGCACATGTATATAAGTTATGATCATATGACGTTGTTTAAATATATTATCCTGATTTTCTCATCGATGGACATGACTCCTCTTCTCTCCAAAGTGAATTTCTCTCTTCTGGGAGATAGAATATAGACTAGAATATGGACACACACACACTTCCTTGGTTTTGTAGTAACAGGGCAGGTAGTTGAACATTTCACTGTTTCATTTCTACATGTCGGATAGTTTTGCATTTCAAGGAATTGATCTGGCCTTGATGAATTATTTGGCTCAGGGGTATTGGCTGAAGAGGCATCAAAGATTGCTTCAACATATAGTGATGTTTTTACTGCCAAAATATTAGATGCTGAGCAGTGTAAGGAATTGAAAATGGGGTCCTACCTTGGTGTTGCCGCAGCCTCAGCAAATCCTCCTCATTTTATCCATCTGTGCTATAAACCACCAAGTGGACCTGTAAATGTCAAGTTAGCCTTAGTTGGAAAAGGTTTGACTTTTGATAGGTACTTGATTTAACCATGTCTCTTTATTTTATCTGCAACACAAAACATGAAATGAAATTTTCCCAAAGTTATTCTTTGTATTGATTTTGGGATTGTTACTTTTATTGGTTGACATTTCTTTGGGTGTTGTGTCCATGGTAGTTAGAATGTGTTCCAACTCAAACATGAAAACACAAGTTAAATCTAGAAAGAAAGAGGGTTTGAATAGAACTCTTAAAAATCATTTCGTCAATGGCTAATAATTGATTTTCAAAGTTGTCTGATCACAGGTAGGAGGAGGTGTCCTCTGAATAAATAGTGTATTTTCACAAGATGACCTAGAGACCGTTTGAAGCTAATAAAAATTCTCATAGTAATTTATTATCACTGTGCAAAGGCATAGACTCTTCATTAGTTAGTTCAGTTGCACATCCCCTCTTTTTAATTTTCTATTGTCATATGTCAGCCTTAATCTATTATGAATCATACCATTACCAATAGTCCCTTAATGTGAAATTGCTGGTAAAGTAGTTGCTCTTTGCTTTGATTAAAATGAACATGGCTTAGGACTCTTCTCATCCTCAATTTTGGAGTTATTTTTGAAGAAAAAATTGTGTTTTATTAGCCTTTGTAATCAAAACAGTAACATGGATCATCCGCTGTTTGTTCCCATTACAATTTGTGGATAACTTGATGATTAAAGGCTATAACTAGTAGAATAAAAGATCATTGTGAAATATGCTGAAGTGGTACTTTAGGTTGAGGTGTTATTGGAGAGACAAATCAGGGTGAATGAATGGAATTTCTCCTTTAGCTTTTTATTTTGATTTAACACTATAATAGTTATAAGGTTTTTTTTTTCTTCTCGTTTTTTGTTTAGTGGTGGTTACAACATCAAGACTGGACCTGGTTGTTTGATTGAACTCATGAAGTTTGATATGGGTGGTTCTGCAGCTGTTTTTGGAGCAGCAAAAGCTCTTGGTCAAATCAAACCCCTTGGAGTGGAGGTCTGTGTTTATATCATTGTTCACTTTTCCTTTTATTGTTACACCGATTGATTTTCGTCCTGCTAACTTTCAAAGTAATGGTTCTGCTTGATAACTAGTTGGCGGTGACTTCATATATCCAAGAATGATAGGAAATTTTTATCACGTTTAAGATGTTTCAGAGCTAACTATATTGTGCTTATAGTTTCTTTGTTCATCTTTTTGCACAAAAAATGCATTTTACATCTGTTTAAAATTCTTGCATGTGCAGGTTCATTTTATAGTTGCAGCTTGTGAGAATATGATAAGTGGAACAGGTATGAGGCCTGGAGACATTGTCACAGCTTCAAATGGAAAGACTATAGAGGTGAGGATTTCATATTCATTGTTTCAAGTTGTACATATTGAAAGGAAGAAACTAAATGGAAGATATGTGGAAAACTGTGCGAATGGACTTTGAAATGTTGATTTTATATGTTGATGACAATAAAAATGTGATATGATATGCCTATAAATCATATTCTAATAAATTTTATTCCAAAAATTTCATTCGATGTTGTACCAATCCAAGGAATACTAGTTCCTTGGACTAGGGGATATAGTCTCAGTCCCACTTCCAGTCTGTTCTCTTCTCTTTCCAGTAGATTGACTTGAAGTTACATTAGCCAGTTAGAGGAGCTAGTTGAAGACTCACATGGATAAGGCGTTACCTATCAGCTATCTAATGTGGGAGACAAAACCTGTTGAAATATTTGTTGACTCCCTTCACGGATAATTTCAGTAGTATCAATCAACCTTTTTGTGAACTACTTTCCTTCTTGATTCAATTTTAAGAGTTCTCATTCTACATCCAGTTATGAGCTATAACTGATGGGATTGGTACAACCATGAATCTTTTTTTTACAGCAGGCTGAAACTCACCTTAACTGAATTTCTTTTAAATTTTCCAACCTTATGACTCCCTTGGGTACGCTAGCATAACACCCTTCCAATTTTGTTTTAATTTGTTAACACCTTATTACTCCAACAGGAGCTATGTGTGTCTCTACCTTTTAATCATTTTTCTCCTTGTAAACATAAACAGCACCAATCATTGCTCATGACTCCCATGACCCAAGCCAACCCCCAGTCACCTTTTCCGATTTCTCCTCCCTTATACCAAACACCAACAAACAAGACACCGATGGTACCCACACAGGAAAGTTTTGCACTTCATATATCACCAGCAAACCATCATGCCTCCCATTAATCCTCCACCTCGCAGCCTTGGACTCCATCACCGCTAAAATGTGTTTTTTTTTTTTTCTTCTTCCTCTACCTTAAACTTCTGGTCAAGCTTTCCAAAAAGCCACCGCCATGAGTTCTCCTTTGCATGTCTGCGCTTTGGGACTCTATGGCTGAAGCTTGAGTTTTAATTAGTGAAACTCTGTCAATATGGAGACTTGATCCTGTTCACTATACCGCATTCAAGAGGTCATGACTTTTGATTGGTGTAGAGAAATTGTGCTACACCCGATTGGAAATTTGAGGCTCAAAAGTGCAAGAAGAAGACACTGAAGCAGATTTCTTCCTTTTTTTTTTGTTTTTTACTTTCCCCAAATACTTATGTAATTCTTAGTGAACTTTTGTAAATCTGTGCTATTGCTAGCCATATCCATCAGAATAATAAATAAATACATTTTATGCAAATCTGTGAAAGTCTATGCATTCAAGTTTGGCCTGTGAGATCTATACAATTGAACAAGAGTATGACATTGGTTTAATTAACCTCTTGTATAGGTTAATAACACAGATGCAGAAGGTAGGCTTACCCTTGCAGATGCTCTGGTGTATGCCTGTAACCAGGGTGCTGAAAAGGTATGCTGCTATGAATCTGAATCTAATATTTACGTAAATCATTAAAGTTTTATATTTCATGATTGTTAAACTAAAATCCTATTATTTGAAAAATGCTATTTTTCACTGTTAAAATACCGGTGGCATTCCTGTTCAGCAAATGAAAATATCTTTGTACAGAAATTACTTCTGGAATTTTGTATTTAGTAATGGCTAGTCAGATGTCATCATTGTATTTTTTACTTTGATTATGTAGTTTTAAACAAGTTTACTATTTGTTAGTTTGGTTTTAGAACTCTAACATGTAGGTTAACTGTTCTTCAGATAGTTGACCTCGCAACATTAACTGGAGCCTGTATAATTGCTCTTGGATCCTCAATTGCAGGTAATTATAATATGATTATTTTACCAGTAGTACAATATAGTTGGCAGAACCTGAAAGATACATGTCTATAACTTGCGAAAGTTGCCACATGACGTTGTCTTTTCCCCTGTTGGCACTTATATTCTCATTAACTGCTGAACTCATGAAAAGAATTATTCATTATCACCTGATTATTAATGCCAACTATTGTTTTCAAAAAGGTGTGTTTACACCAAATGATGACCTGGCAAAAGAAGTTTTTGAAGCTTCTGAAGCAAGTGGGGAGAAACTATGGAGGTTGCCATTAGAAGAAAGTTACTGGGAGTCAATGAAATCAGGAGTAGCTGATATGGTGAACACAGGTGCTCGACCAGGTAGTGCCATTACTGCGGCTCTTTTCTTGAAGCAGGTATGTGCTAATGAAACATTTTATTTTTTTCATTTCTCTCACTTAAATAATGGCTCGCTAGGGTAGTTCTAATATTTAAAGCAAATACAATTTTAATATCAATGCTTGTGATGCTTATTTTGGTTTGAGTGTTACACTTGATATGAGTGGGATGGTATGAGAACTGACTGGACTCTTGTTTTGGAGGGAAAAGTTTATGTAGAGACTTTTTGTGAAGGAACTTAATGGGAGGAAAAACAGCTGCTTTATAAATACTGATGTGCATCTTAATTGGTTAGCTTCTATCTGCAGTCTTCATGCAATTTTCTTCATAAAACAATATTGTCCTTTTGCAGTTTGTTGATGAGAAGGTTCAATGGATGCATATTGACATGGCTGGTCCAGTTTGGAATGAAAAGCAGCGCTGTGCAACAGGATTTGGTGTTGCTACCTTAGTAGAATGGGTTTTGAGGAACGCGTCTTAAATTCCAACTGAAATGTTGAAATCTTGTTCAATTATACTGTGTTATATTAATTATTAATAAGTTATCTGAAGGGATATAAAAGGCGTGGCATGTTATAGTGTATTTAAACTTAAATGAATAACCGCCGGTTAAATTTGACTTCATTTTGTTTAATTCTTGTATGTTCATGGAATGTGTATAGACAGTATGTCTTTTAGTAATAAGCTCCTTCTCGCTTACACTCCTCCAGTCTACGAGGTCAGCATATGATTAGTACGCCGAAACCATCTCGACTACACTTGTAGTTTCTGGAGCTGATGTCGTCAGTTAGGCTTTAGAATGATCTTGAGAATTTTAAGAAGAGAAATGCAGAGGACATTGGCACCCTCAAGCGTGAAAAGGTCCAAGTATGCCAAAAACTGGAGGAGCATCAAGAGATCCCATCCCGGCAAAATTCATAATCATATATACCACAGATGGGAGTGTCAAATCACTCAATTGATCCCTTATCCACACCTTTTCAAAATACAAGAGGTTGATAGCAACCCATAATTGGTCATCCCGCTAGCAACATTGGAAGAACCTTAGCGTGGAAAAGATACAAAGATCCCATTATTATGGCAAACACTTCATTTTAAGTTGGTTCACAGATTCTCTCCATATTCCATCGATTATTTCAACACCTTGATAAGAAAGTTTGGTATTCAGTTTGTAACAGGCTGCCCACATAACTTGACCACCGTTCCCTTAGTCAACATTCAACAAGATAACATCCATCAAGATAAAAGAGAATCTTTGAGGAAATTTATGGAGAAATTTAGAAAAGTTGCTATCAGCGTCCATAATCTAAAGTTAAAAGTGACTCTCACATAATTACAACATTGAGATCGATACTTTTTTTTTTATAGTCTATGCAAGAAGCTAGTAGTGAACTTGGATCAGTTGAGATTAAGAGGTGCTAAGTTTAGGAAGGTCAAAAAATTGAAAGAATTTCCTAGTTAATCAAAGTGATTCCATAGAGAAAGAGTTTCAAATGAGAGAAAGGTCAAAGTTCAACTCTAAGCAAAACTTCGGAAACATCATGACCTAATTCTTAAAAGAATTGAGATATAAGGTGAGAATTTGAGAAGAAGCATCCAAGTAAATAATATCATAAAAAAATAACTATAAGATAAAGGTGAAAGTATTAATATAAGGAGATCTCTTGGACGAATAAGAAGCAACACACGTAAAGAGTAATTTTGGATTGTCCAAATACTAGAAAACAAAAACATACCAACTAAAGAATCTATATCGACTACATGAATTATAAGCCTCCTAAAAATTTATTGTATTAATAATTTTATTTGAGAACTTTTTGTTTTCTACCCTTGGTCATTTTTTTCCTCTAAGGTTGGTTTTGACTATAAGGTTTTAATGAGACATCATGAGAAAAAGTGATAATCTTGTTCTAGGATGTTTCACTTAACAATGAAACAAATTTATTTTTTATGTTTATATGTACAAATGATTATCGATAACTTTAGTGTCAAAAGATATTCAAAACTAAAATTGTTCTTAAGATATATGAACAATGGGATAAAGTAAACTCTTTTGTTTTGTTTTTACTTTTCTTTTTCTTTTGACTATTTTTGAACTTTTTTGTTATTTTTTTTATGTTTTAAAATTAATTATTATTTTATCAAGTTTTAGAGGTGTTTTTTTTAGGTCCAATCATAAATTCAAATTTAACAAGAATTTTAGCAACATTGAATCCTAATATCTTATAGTTAAACATCAATTGCATTTGAACAATAAAACTTTGAAGAAAGTTCATTAAAATTCTTAGATACTCTCCTTCAAATATTGATATAAGATTTACTATTTTTCTTTGCAAAATATGTCCGCTCCCTAAAAATAAGGAAAGAAACTATGTAAGAAGACACATACTCAATTGTCAAATGTATGTTATGAAAGAAATGCGTTAGAAAAAAAATGTACTATTAAAACGCATACATCAAGGTATAATTCTCAAGAAATTAAGAATATATGGTTCACCTAACATATTTAGAGATGAAGTTTAAAGTATAGAAACAAAGTAAAAAAGGAACAAAATTAATGTATATTTTGCAACAAAATTTAGTGACAAAAATATAAGATACTATATATACAATATAGTTTTATCATGCTTATTGTTCAACTCTTCATTTACTTATTATGATCCATTATCATACCACAACATGACTATCTTGATGAGTTGTTTAGTGTAGTGACTCATAACTTGCTTATTAACGGATTCAATATATGACTGAATATTGTCACAAGATTATTTTATTGTTGAGGTATTTCGTATAGTTTTTTAATTAGGATCTTTAATTTTCCTTTAAGGCTTTAAAATCTTCGTGTTGTTTTCAAAAGAGCTCCAAAATCTTTGTGTTCTTTTCTAGTTTTGCAAGAGTTGAACACTCTAGTCATTTTGTTGTAGAATAGTGAGATTCATTAGTAAATTGTTGTTCATTTCATTTTGTGGGACTTTCAAGTCGTTAATGATGACGGTTGTATTCATTTAACTATTAATGAATTGAATTGGTTTTTCATTTAAACCATAAAATAACGTGGTATAAAAAAAATGTTATGAACTAGACTCTAAATATTTTTGTTGAAAAGTGGACAACCTTAAGTAAAAAGAATAGATCTTTATAAACTTACTTTAGAGAGTCTCTGGGAGTAGTGCATAAGAAAGTTAGTAAAATATGAGAAAACAGATTCTATGTTATATATAAGTCTCTAACCAATAATAAATTTGTTAATAAATCATAATAGATACTTCAACATGCTATATGTATTATGTATTTTAGATAATGTGAATAGGTAAATATATCATCATCAAAATCTTATATAATAAAAAATAAATTTTAAATATATCATAAAATTATAGAATTTTATCATGTGAATATATATATATAAGATAAAAGTGTGAAATAAATATAAAAATTAGAAATTAGAAATTAGAAATAACTAATGACAAAAGTGTACTTACCAAATACAGCTAATAAAGTCAAACAATTTAAAAAAAAAAAGTTGGAAACTAACTGAAAATATTGTAAACGATAACCTTAAACTCACCGAACAAACAGTGACGTTATATTTCGAAATTCATGTCAAAATGTTTTCTTGATAAGACAAAAGTACCACCCACGTACCCAAGAAAAAAAAATGCTAATATTTATGGCTTTAGATACGAGTAGTTACTACGTTATGACAAAACTTTACCAACCGCCACATGATTTTGGTCCAACAACTAAAACATCGTTGATGTAACGAACGAAGCAAGAAAACTTGAAAGACAAAGACAAACTAGTGGGAGGACCGAGAGGAAGAGAAAAGGACGAGGAGAGAGAGAGAGAGGGTTGATCTACATTGTCGGAAACCATGGCGGGAGAGCTTCTCGCACGTAATCTGTGTCTATGGATCCCTGTGTGTTTTCTGTTACTCGTTAATGTCCATTTTGGAACTTGTTTTTACCTTCCTGGTGTTGCACCCGAGGATTTCCACAAGGTCATTCCTTTTTTTATTCAAAAACTGCTTGTGTCCTCCTTGTTGAATTTTCATTTTCATACCTTCTTTCAGTTTCTGGTCAAACCACTATTCTGTGCCTCTGATTTTATGGTTTATTGTTTATTCTTTTGGCTTTGTTCGTTTGAGAATTAAGATCTTATTCAGTTTTACAATTTGGTGGCCAATGATGATATTTTTTTTCCGCTTGTTGGCACATCCTACGTGGGTTTGTTAGATCCCAGCATTATGACATCTGGGTACGAACGTGAACGTGTTCCAGTGGCAGTCATTTGTACTTGAAGAATGTAAATTTTGCAGTTCATGTGATGGTATTTGATTAGTTGCAATGGTGATGAGATTGCTTGTGCCTGAATATTTTTCAGCCATTCGGTTTTGTCATTCACAGCTTACATATCTTATTTAATTGATGTTGATTGATCAAAACAGGTTTTTTCCAAGTATACTTTTACATAAAACATCTTATGTTGTTCATCGGTGACAGGGGGATCTGTTGAGGGTGAAAGTGAACAAACTATCTTCAACAAAAACACAGCTTCCTTACTCCTACTATTCACTGCCTTATTGTCATCCAGATCACATAGTTGACAGTGCTGAGAATCTTGGGGAAGTTCTTAGGGGTGACCGCATAGAAAACTCTCCTTACGTGGTTGGTTTAATTTTTGCATCATTCTTATTCCTTCTTCCATTTAGTCTGTAATTACAAAACATTGAAACAGTTTGATTTTTCAAGTTCAAAATGAGAGAGCCCCAGATGTGCAATGTTGTTTGTCGGCTAACTCTCGATGAAAAATCAGCCAAAGAGTTCAAGGAAAAGATAGATGATGAATATCGTGTGAACATGTGAGTCACTAATGACGTTATATGTTACTTACCCTTTTTACCTCTGACAAAAAAGTTGCATTCTCTTGCAGGATTTTAGACAATCTCCCTTTGGTTGTTCCACTGAGACGTCCGGATCATGAGTCTTCCTTGGTGTATCTGCATGGCTTCCTAGTTGGTCTCAAAGGACAGTATGCTGGAGTAAGTACTAGCTTAATGACCTTTTTTTTGTCATTGGTTTGTATTTATTTTAACATCTTGAACACAAATGTTGACAGAACAAGGAAGAAAAGCATTTTATCCACAACCACTTAACATTTATTGTTAAGTATCACAGAGATCCAGTGACAGAGACGTCCAGGATTGTAGGCTTTGAGGTTAAGCCTTTCAGGTAGTATATTGTCTGAAGTCTATATACTGGATAAATTGAAAACAAAAAACAAAAAATATATATTTTTATTGTTTCTTTACCCAAAATATGTTTCTTCCAAAACAAAAGTATTTAATAGTTGAAAGTTAAAATTATTCCTATGAATACAGTGTAAAGCATGAATATGAAGGTGAGTGGGATAACAACACGCGCTTAACTACATGTGATCCTCATGCAAAAATGTTAGTCTCAGGCTCTGAACCTCCTCAAGAGGTTGAAGACAAGAAGGAGATTATTTTTACCTACGATGTTGAGTTCCAGGTTTGTTGCACTGTTCATGGTAATGGAATAAGGGAGCATCATAGAATTGAGTTTTGATGTTAATTTCTTCTTAAAATCTCTGCAAACATTTTGTAGGAGAGTAATTTGAAGTGGGCTTCTCGCTGGGATTCCTATCTCCTAATGGCCGATGATCAAATTCACTGGTTTTCAATTATAAATTCTTTAATGATTGTGCTTTTCCTATCGGGCATGGTGGCTATGATAATGTTGAGGACACTTTACCGAGATATCTCTAAGTACAACCAATTAGAGACTCAGGAAGAAGCTCAGGAAGAGTCAGGGTGGAAGCTTGTTCATGGGGATGTTTTCAGGTGCCCTTCGAACTCCGATTTGCTATGTGTATACGTTGGAACTGGTGTTCAGTTTTTTGGAATGATTCTTGTGACCATGATCTTTGCTGCACTTGGATTCCTCTCTCCCTCAAACAGAGGGGGGTTGATGACTGCCATGCTCTTGCTCTGGGTCCTTATGGGACTGTGTGGTGGCTATTCTTCAGTGCGTCTTTACAAGATGTTCAAGGGAACAGAATGGAAAAAAATTGCTATAAGGACAGCATTTATGTTTCCTGCCATTGCCTTTTCAATTTTCTTTGTGTTAAATGCTCTAATCTGGGGCCAGAAGTCTTCTGGGGCAGTGCCATTTGGTACAATGTTTGCTCTTGTTTTCTTATGGTTTGGCATCTCAGTTCCTCTCGTGTTTCTTGGTGGTCACTTTGGTTATAAAATGCCATTGGCTGAGGATCCTGTAAAGACAAACAAGATCGCTAGGCAGATCCCAGAGCAGCCTTGGTATATGAACCCAATCTTTTCTGTTCTAATCGGAGGCATACTCCCATTCGGTGCTGTTTTCATTGAGCTTTTCTTCATTCTCACGTCAATCTGGTTACATCAATTTTATTATATATTTGGTTTCCTCTTCATTGTGTTCCTCATCCTCATTGTTACTTGTGCTGAGATCACCATAGTTCTCTGCTACTTCCAGCTGTGCAGTGAGGATTACTGTTGGTGGTGGAGGTCATATCTGACTTCTGGTTCCTCTGCCCTGTACCTTTTCCTGTATGCTGCATTTTACTTTTTCACAAAGCTTGAGATCACAAAACCAGTATCTGGGGTCTTGTATTTTGGGTACATGCTGCTTCTTTCATATGGTTTCTTCGTGGTCACTGGTACAATTGGTTTCTATTCGTGCTTCTGGTTCGTAAAGCTAATCTACTCATCGGTGAAAATTGACTGATCCATGGCTTGTGAACCAAATGAATGCATATAATTTCAGGAAAGCTTTAGTTGGAACGGGGAATTCTGGGGATTCTTCTCCTAGATCTTTGCTTCCGGCATTACATTCAAACGTTCAGAAATTTTTAGTCTCCTCGGTATAGGTTCTTCTGCAATTATGATTTGATTCAATTATATAATTTTTGTATCCTACTATTCTTTTCCTCACAATTCTCTCTTTTTAATTGAATAACTCAATTGTTTTGGGAGACATACCCACCCATATGGAAACATTATCTTGCTGTCTAGCACAGTGGTAATTGTAACAATATCCTATTATTAGTTGAAAGATGTGTATTAATTAACCTCACCGTAACTATTCATTTATCTTGATTTTCTTTTCACTCAATTGGAGCATGCTTTTAGTATTAACGGAAAGACAATTTTAAGCCTGATTTTAATAGGACAAAGAATTAATAATGTTTAGTTTTCAAAAATTCTTTTTTTATTAAATTGGTATTAGAGTTTCTATGGGAGAGCTAAGGTTTAAGTGTCATAAAAAAAAGTGAGAATAGTTAGTATGATAATACAACTTTGTTTTGGTTGTTTTGAGTTGTAAAAGATTGTGATTTTGAGAAGATTATAAGAGTTAATATTCGATGTGTGGTTCAAGTTAAGGAAGGAGCACAAAAAAGATGACTGAGTCACGAATTCCACGACAAATATTATGTAGCGAAATGGAGAGTATAAGAATGAAAGAGTTGGAAAAAAATTTTCAAATATATCTTACATGTTAAAAATATGGTGAAATAGATTAATAAGAATTAAGAAGACACTTTATTATCAAAAGAATAGAGGAAGAGGACGAGATTATCGTGGTGGTCGATTTGATTGAGGTGGCGAGAAGAAAGAGGGGTTCAACAAATGTTGAATGTTTTAAATGTAATAAATATGATCATTATAAAAAAAAAATGTTTTAATTGTGTAAATGAAGAATATCACGTCAAAGAGGGTGATGCCTAAATTGAATAACTAAATTGTTTTGTGAGATATACCTAGAAAACATTATCTTATTGTCCATCAGAGTGGACGGTAACCGTGACAATAGGTAGGATACTGAACATATTCCTTCTAAATGAGAAATGAATATTTTAAGAATCTAAAATTAAATATTAAAAGTTATTTAATAATGAATGGAATAATATCCCACTAGGTCTTGGGATTACAAAATAAGTTAAATTTATGGATGTATTACTTACCTCCTCTAAAAAGTGATGATATTAATTTATAATTTTAATTTATTATTTTATCTTGACTTGTCTTGTCTAACCAGTTAAAAATAATAAATGGTGAATTGACTTATTAATCTTTTTAAAAAAATATTTATATATTAAAATTAAAATAATAAGAATTATAATTAAAAATATTATATTATTTGTGTCATATTAAAATATAAAAATATATTATAAATTAAATTATAAATATATAATTAATTAAATTTAAAGTATTAATTATAATTAAGTATTTTAACACATAAATATTTTTTTAATTCATCTAATAAAAATATTAATTAATAAATAAAAATACATATAAAAAAATTGGAGACTACAATATTTTTCAAATTGTATGGTTATTAAATCGATTAAGACATCGATTCAAGATTTAAATATTTAATTGAGGTTCAACCAAAATTAATAAAATAATATTTTTATAATATAATAAATTTATTAGTACTAATGTTTTTAAAAAATAAATAAAAATAATAAAATTTATTATTTTGTTATCATGAAAGTTATAAATATAAAATATATTAAAGAATGTAAAATGAATAATTATTAAAATATAATAAAATATTTAAAATTAATGTAATTAATATAAGATAAAAAAAACTAAAATTTTTGTAAAAAATTTATATTAAAAAATTGATCTAATATTTTATTTTTAATAAAACTGATTCGACCCAAAATTTCCATCGGTTTTATCTCGGATTTTCAACTTTATCCCAATTTAATTAATATCCACTTATTTAAAAATAATAAATAAGTTTGTAGTCCGATTTTAGGTTTCTATCCGATTTTTAAAATAGTGGCAGACTATCTATAACTCGTTTTAACTATGATGATTCAATCCGTTTGGTTTTTTTTTTTTTTCGAACTAGAAACAAAACATGTCAAAACAGCACAAATTAATTCATTTTGTTTTTTATCTAATAAAAAGATACTCAAATTTGTAAAATCCACTTATTATAAATTGGTCTATTATGAGATGGTAAACTATTTGTTCAATCGTATATGAAGTCTTGTTTAAAGGGTAAAAACAAAACTGAGAAAGTTGGGGTTAGGTAAGGGATTCTTAACTCAGTTGTTGGAATGCAAGAGTGGTATCTTGCTAAGTTAACTCCTGCTTTTAGTTTGGTGTCACAAAAGTTACATACAGTAGAAAACATTTACCGCACCAATGATGTATAATAGTCAGCGAAGTTTCAACTCAATAATGTCAGTTGCGGTTGGCAGGCCTATCATAATAATAGCAGATTGGCTTGATGACAAGGAACCAGAAGCATATATATTTTGACATTGCATCTGAAATTATTTTGCTGAGAGACAAAACACATGCAAGAGATAATGACCCAGTGTCTCTTAATTACACAACTGAATCCCTTTTATGTAGATTTAACAGGATACATACAAGTAAATATCATTATCTTTACATGATTTGTTATGCCTATAATTAAAAATATCTATATTAAATTGGAAATTTAGTATACTTTAAAATAGTCTAAAATATATACAAAAATAATGTCAGAAATTTCTTAGATTTTTCAACATTGTCCTAAAGCTAAACCTGACATACCACACCATAAATTGAGATAGTGTGAGTGTAATTACAGAAGTTATTTAAACAACAATCTAAATCACTTCTGTCATGAAATTAGTCTAACTATATAAGTTCCCTTATACACAAAAAATAGAAATATTACATATTACAATGTAGAACACAATACATTAGAATAACAAAAAGAATTTACTAAATTACTAGTGTAACAAAACATTTCTCCCGTAAAATCGGCTTCCACAAAATTCTCTTGAAAAATGAATTTGCATGGAGTAATGATGCTGTGTGTGTTTTAAGAGTTTTGAAATCACTGTTTTTATAACGACTTAAGTTCTAGTCAAAAGATGGTTAACAAACAACTGTTAGATCAAAAGATAACTCAATTTAAAAAAAAAAAAACAGAAAAAAATAATTATTTATATTTTCAAAAATCTTAAAGAAGAAGTGCAAATATTCATCAAACTAATAAGTCAGCATGATCAACTAATAATGGATATATTAGCAAACGAGATGTTATCTTATACCAACTCATCTATTGTGTCAACTAAAGTAGTAATTTGACAACCATATTTTTTTCCTATAAAATATAATTCATAGATATGATAATGAAAAAAAAAAAAACTGATAAAGAGAAAATAGGATTTGGCAATGGCCTCATTCTTCCACTAGTAATACAGGTGCAGTAATGCAAGCACCGAATTCCGATAGCAACATATACAGGCACCTTGTATTATACCTTAATTACTGTTTTTAGTTCACAAATCAGAATCCTCACTTTAGATGACTCATCTGCAATTTCTCTATTTGTTTACAATTCTTCTTACATTGGTGAAGGGGACGGGGTGGGTCAGATCACGTTTTGTTCCAGTGGTACTAATCACATGATGTGAGTGACAGTAGCCAGATTCCCCTGCTACACGGTACTAACAAAATAGAAAAACCATGCTATTGTAAGAATCAGCAAATTCTATCTTTTTACTATTGCATTGAGTGGATGATAAGGAATTGTTTAACGGAGCTAGGAATTTCTCCAAATTCTACGATAAAGGAAATGAAGGATAATGGCCCTTTCAATCATCCCAATAGCAGTGATGACTATTAGGCAGCAAGTAGAGAGGTATCACCAACCCTAGTTGGTGATGATTTCTTTCTAATTCCATTAAATATAAGGATGGAAGATGCATTAAATATAAAGAAAGTGATTCATCGTGGGTCATCTGCATCAGGGATCTATGTACAGTATGTGCCCTCCTTTTCCGGATCGTAATATGAGAAGCCACATTAAGTTTGATCCCACCAAGTGTCTCTTTTTCTTTCTTCTAATAATATTATGTGTGTGAATTATTAAAATTTTACACAGACAATTCTTCGAACAGATGGTTTGTATAGGCCTAAAATTAAGGTGGGAACGGCAACTACTACAACAGCATGGAAGAGAAAAACGGCACCATCACCAATTCCATTTTATTATCCCCTAGCCATGCCACTGTCTTCATTAACTTTCTTTTTCTGTCTCTTACTCTGACCCATTCCTATTTTCTCTCTCTCTTTCTAGTAAGAGACGGCAAGGTAACCTCCAAAAAACAATGAAAGAAGAATCATGGAAACACGACTCTTACATCAAAAGCCAAGAGTCCACACCATCCCACACCCAATCTCTCTTTCTCTCTCTCATCAATGGCCCAGATGGACCATCACCAACTTATAGGTGGAAGAAAAACTAAAAAGGAAACAGAAAGGATGGGAAACACAAAATAAAGGAATTTAGCTGTATAGATGGCTTGAAACGTCCTCCAAGTATACCCAACCATACAACGCAACACAAACCCTTTCTCTTTCTCTATCATAAAAATGTGTTCCCCTATTTGCCCTTCTGCAAGACCCCAAACAATCCCATCTTCATCACTTTCTCTCAAAAGAACAATATTTTTCACCGGGTTATGTGGACTTGTTTTTGGGGTTTCTTTGTCTTGGTCAGAGTATCACAGAGAAAACAGGAAAGCCAGAAGAACCTTCTTACCTCCCTTCTATCTCTCTTTCCCTCTTTCCTTTATCTCATTTCTTCTAGTTCTGTCTTGTTGGGTGCTTCTTTCCCTCTCTGCCTTCTCTTTCATCTTGTTCCATAACCTTACCGAACATCCTCCTTGTCGTTAACCTGTTTGTTACCTTAAGTTTTTGTCGTTGTCGGTATTTGTTCTTTGTTTGTGGTTTTTTCTGTTATTTCTGATCTGATGAAGAAGATGAAAGGAGTTGTGTATGAGGATCAGAGGGCTAGGCTCAGGCATCAAAGTCTTTTGCACGACTATAAAGACCTACAGGAGGTAACTCTTTTCTAAATTTTCAATAAAGTTTGAAAATTTTATGATAGATCTATTATTTCCTGTCATGTCTTTTTGGCTGTTGATGGTCGTTTGGCTTTGTGCTCGTTTATTGTTGGGGAAGACAATATAAGATCTTACGTTGTATGTTAATCTTTTGAATAAAACCTATTTTTACGTTGGGATCACGTGAATTGTTGTTCGTTGCCAACCAGTACGAGACTTTAGTTCTGGCTGGAACATCAAATTGTTTTTGAATCTCCAGTTTTTGTTCTCAATTTCCCATAGAATCAAGGATCGTGATGAAAGCCGTATGGCAATTTAAAACCTTACTCGTTATTGTGATTATTTCCTATTTGTTCCTCCCATTCTTTTTTTTTAATTGTGGAGTTTGTGTTATCTCTCCCTATCTGCACCAGAATTAATTTTTTGACTCTCAAACTATTTCCTTGAATGATGAAATAAACTTCAAACGGTAATCACATACATTACAGGGTGATTTGTTCTAGTTTTCTTTTTCTCTTTTTATTTTGGGTGTATGTGATTAACATAAAAAAGTATTTTCCTCTTGAAGCTACTTGGCTTTATTTTTATGTTTCATATAATCATTTGGATGGCTTCTGAACTTCATACAATCTTTTGAGGAGGAACTAAGCTTTCTTGGTGGGTTCTTATATTACCGTTGTGGTTTTAGTTGTTGTAAAAGTGTTACCTCTTTTTCCCTAATTTGGCAAACACTTTATCATCAATGGGAAAAATTGTAATTATACCTTTTTATTATGTTCAGGAAACAAATGCCATGAGAATGAAACTGCAGGCTGCGAAGCAGAAAAACTCGATACTGTCAGCAGAAGTTCGGTAAAATATCAGCATATCTTTGGTTTTTGTGGTTTCTCATAGTAGAGTCATTTTATATTCATTCATAGGAGTTCATCCTTAGAGTTGTCACTCTTGTAACTGCAGATTTTTGAGGCAACGTTACATATATTTGATGCAAAATCCTTCTCCAAAGCAAGACATTTCACACCAGCAAAAGCTTAAAGTCCAAGCTACCCTTATCCGAAAGGGCAAGAAATACAATAGAAAGGAATCTACTTTGCACCCTGCCAGAACCTCTCATTTGAATTCTAAAGAAAGGATTTCCAATGGAGTTGAGACTACAGAGCATAAAACAGTTCCTATGTTTGATTTAAACCAGAACGCTAAGAGTGTTAGTAAAAAAGATCCTTCTTTTCTCAATTCTTCTCCAGTTCCTGACTTAAATCAGGAAGATAGATTTCACAGTCTTAAAGAAGCCTCGAAGAAGAGCATCACTACATTTTTTGACTTGAACCAGATTTCGGTAAATAATTGCACATGTTATGTTTAAAAGATAAATAGTCTGTGTTTATATTTCAGTTCAGTAGTCTTATGTTTTCCATATATTTTGGTGCCACATCATGAGCAGAGAGAAGAAGAGGAATTACTGGGTATTGAGCCCATGAGGGTTGAAGAACCAAAAAGAATTACACCAAGAAGTGCGAGTGAAGAGCAGCACAACGATATCAAGTTGTCAGTTTGTAGAAATGTTGGGAATGGTTCAAACAGGACAGTGAAGAGGAAGATCTCTTGGCAAGATCAGGTGGTATTAAGGGTTGGAACTTAATCAGAACAGTAGGTCAAATTCCTGCTCTTTTGGAATGTGTAGTTGACTTTGATAATGTATAGAAGATTTTTTGAATTTGCTAAACCATTTTAGTTTATTTTCTTTTTGTAAAGATAAAGTTTATCATTATATGTTAAATTTATATATAAGATAAAGATGAAATGGGAATTTATCCCCAGAAATCATTACAATAATGAGTTGTTTCAATTTGTGATCTGCACTGCCAAACCATGATCACTGATAAGTTGTACAAGTCCTTAATCCTGTGTTCTGAAATTTCTCTCTGACCGTAATTCTAGGATCGGGGAGGTTGCTTTGTCTATAGGATGAACTAGATATAAAGGGAACTTATTGGAAGTTCCTTATCTCTTAAGAATTCTTTATTGTAAACCCTCTAAGAGATATTCTTATACTACCTCCATACTTGTGTTTGCAGTTAAGAGTGGCAGGTACACAATACTCCTGAAAGACAGAAACAGCTTATTGCTATTCAATATTTGTATTCTTTGTCTTAGGAGGAAAATCAATGGGTTTTCTCTTCTTACTTAAACATGATTGTAAGAAAAATATCTCCTTATCTTATTGTAGTATTTAGAATGTTTCCATTTGAGGATAATATTATGAAACTTTGATTGTTGCACATGTGATCATGAACTTCCTCCAACAACCTGAAGAAGCTCCCGATCCACTGAACTACAATCACCAATTCATGCACAGTTAGTTAGTTAAGAAAATAAAAATAAAAAGCAAGAGATTCAACCGCGGGACAAATCACAAAACAACAGAAATAGAACAACAACCCGTGGTTGCATCAGCATCAAACAACCAGAATAATCCACAATTTTATCATATCTAATTCTAGTAATAACATGTGGTTAAAATATTCTCATTCTGAAATAAGATATAAGGATATTCTCTTTCTTACATAAGATATAAGCATTTACCACGAATTCATAATTAAAGTCCCAATTCTTTTTTATCTTTCTATCTCTATAAATTTGTAAGCTTCATATTGTTTAATAATTAATATAAAAATAGTTTATATATGTTTAAATTAAAATTTAAAATGTATAATATCCCAGATATAATAATAAATCATAATAATATTATTAAATCGAAAATATTATTAATGTGCATAAGATAATAACATCTCTTTCTAAAAGAAGTATTAAGTACTAATATTTATTATGGTACTATTGACGTTAGCTCATTAATAAAAAGTCAAATTCAAGAAACTTTCTATTCAAATTATTGATGATAATATAATTGTAAAAACTGAGATTTATGTAAAGAGAGGTAGAAAGAAGATCAATAAATGGAAGTAATGACAAAAGAAGGAAAATATTATAAGAAAATCATAAATAGTAAATAATAAAAATAATTTTAATGTAATAAAATTTATTATTTGATAAAAAGTGTATTTAACCCTCTAAACCATTTTATTAAGCTTTATTTAATAATCACTTCTTCATCTACTTATTTCTTTTATAAAATAAGGATTTGTGCAATTAATATACAAAATTAACATGAATAATAATTAGAAAATTTTGAGAAAAAAAAACCATGATTGTTTTATTTTGTTTGAATGTTATTATTTTGATGTTTAATATATTTTATTTTCTTTCATTTACTTATCTCTTGGTCATAATCACGAATAAGTTTTCTAAAAAAAATATCTTAAATGAATATATTTCAATAAATTTTTTGTTTCCATTACTCATTTCAAATTCAAGTGATACTTTAAATTAAATTACAAATTTATAAATTTGAAACTTCTAAAACAACCATTCTTCTTTAATTTAATGTAATTTGTCGAAAATAATTTAAACACCCTAATTCAAAATTTATAACATATCAAACATAGTATCTTCATTATTAATTTTTGGGTTAAGTATATTTTTAGTATCTATACTTTCATGTGAAATTGAAAATAGTCTCTCTGTTATAGTTCACATAAAAATGATCTCTATACTTTTGAAATAATTGAAATAGGTCCCTATTTTAAACAACATTAAGTATATGGTGACTTGTCTAACAGAAATGGTATGACTCATTCATTATTTGACACGTGTAATTATTTAAAAAAATAAAATTAAAAGGTGTCAAGCTTTTAAAAGTCATTTAAATCCGTATTTATAACATTTAAAAGCCATTTAAAAAGAAATTTAAACTTATCTGCCATAAGTCATTTAAATCCAAATTTAAAGCATTTAAAAGTCATTTAAGAATGAATCTATGTCTAGATCATTTAAAGCATTTAACCCCATTTTAAATAGGGACTTATTTCAATCATTTCAAAAATATAGGAATCATTTTTATGTGAACTTTAACAAAGAGACTATTTCCAATTTCACATGAAAGTAAAGGGACTAAAAACATACTTAACCATTAATTTTTCATGCCACCTCCTAAACCTCATGAGAAAGTCTCCATCTTACTGATCATACATATACGATATAATTTATCTATTTTTTTCATTAAGAATTCTCACCCTAAAAAGGAATACAGGTAGTATATATATATATATATATATATATATATATATATATATATATATATATATATATATATATATATATATATATATATATGCGTAGAACAGAAAAGAAAGAATATGTCATAACTAAAAATAATACAAAAGGGGAAAAATAAGATTTGTTATAGAAAAACAATTATGCTAATACTTCCCCTCAAGTTGGACGGTGGATGTCACAAAGATCCAACTTGGATATAGAATTGTCAAAAGTTATATGATGAAGAGGTTTAGTAAAAGTATGCGCAAGCTGGTTGGAAGATGAAACAAGAAAAAGATGAATTAGACCTTGTTGAATTTTCTCACGAACCACGTGGCAATCGATCTCGATGTGTTTAGTGCATTCATGAAATACAGAATTATGAACTAAGTAAATGACATATTGATTATCACAATAGACTGCAGTAGAACTCAATGAAACATGAAGATCACGAAAAAGATAATGTAACCATTGAATCTCACAATTGAGACTGGCTAATGCTCGATATTTTGCTTCGGAGAATGAACGAGAGACAATAGATTGCTTGTTGAATTTCCATGAAATCAAGGAAGAACCAAGAAAAACACAAAATTTGGTGATCGAGCAGCGAGTGTCTAAACAACAGGCTCAGTCGAAATCAGCAAAAGCAGAAAGACGATTGTCAATAGAGGCATAGAAAAATAATCCTTGGGCAGGTGAACCTTTTAAGTATCTAAGAACACGGATGAGAACTTTATAATGAACATCAAGAGGTTGAGCCATGAATTGACTAAACTGCGGGACAAAAAAGGCAATGTCAGGGCACGTAGTGTGAGATATAACAGTTTACTGACTAATTTGTGATAAGCAGCAGTATTGGAATACGGTTGTCCATGATTAGCCTGAAGTTTAGTAGAGGAATCAGAAGGAGTGTAACAGGTTTGGAATCAAGTAAACCACTATCATCAGGAAGTTAAAAGTGTATTTACGTTGGTTCATGTGAATGTCGGACTTGGATCGTACAATTTCTAATCCAAAAAAATAACGAAGAGCATCAAGATCTTTAATCTTGAATTTAGTATCCAAGACACATTTGATAAAATTAATTTCATCCATATCATCACCAGCTAAGACAATATCACTAACGTAAACTACTAAAGTTGTGAAAGAAGTGAAAGTAACCTTGATAAACAAAGATTGATCAGCGGAAGATTGTTTATAGTTAAAAGATAAAAGAATGGTAAAAAAAAACTAATGTGTCATTGTCTGCTCGCTTGCTTGAGTCCATACAATAACTTGTGAAGTTTACAAACTTGATAAGAACTCGGTGGAAATAAACTAGGTGGAGGGACCATATAGATTTCCTCATGAAACTCTCCATGAAGAAAGACATTATTCACATCAGGCTGGTGCACAAACCACCCCTTAAATGTTGTTATGGCTAGAAGAACACGAACAATGGTGATCTTGACAACCGGAGAGAATGTGTCAAAATAATTCACTTCATCTAACTGAGTATAGTCCTTGACCACTAAGGGGACTTTGAATCTATCAACAATGTCATCTCATAAAATTTAACCATGTAAACCCATTTACAACCAAATGGACTCTTTTCTTGTGGGAGATCAACAATAGACCAAGTGTTATTTTGCTGTAAAGCCCGTAACTCAACATTCATAGCTTGGGAGAAAGTAATAGGTTCAGAAATGTTAATAACAGCAAAACAAATTTTTTTATAAGAGGAATTGTATTTGAAATAATCAAGAATTGATGATAAGGGATGCAAACAAATACCTTTAAGAGAATGTGTGGAACTGCTAGAAGCAACCACATAATGACAACGAAAATCTGTTTGGTAAAAGGGTGGTATGCGAGATTGGGAGAAATGTCTAATATGTGGAGAAGGCGAGGCAAGAAAACTAAGATTCTGGTTATAATTTATAGTAGATGGAATGTTTGTAGTAGGAGGGTGATGAATAGGTTCGGACAAGAATAAGGTATTTGCAGGAGAGGATATAGATGAAATGTATGTAATAGGAGGGTGATGAATAGGTTCGGGAAAGGATAAGTTATTTATAGGAGAGGATGTAGACGAAATGTCTGTAGCAGGAGGGTGATGAATAGGCTTGGGTAAGGATAAAGTATTTGCAGGAGAGGATATATCGAATAATAGAGGAAATATAGAAGAAATTAAGAAAGAAGTGGTGGAGGAATGAAAAGGAAACACAGTTTCATAAAGAATGACATTTCTTGAAAGAAAAATTTAATGGGAATGGAGATCATACAAAACATAGCTTTTAGTATCTTCCCTATATCCCAAGAAAATAGTTTTTCTGGCGCAGGGCTGAAATTTAGTTATGTGATTTTAAAGCGTAGTGACATAAGTAAGATAACCAAAAACCTTTAAATGGGTCATGCTAGGTGATTTATCATATAACACTACATTTAAAATGCAATAACGGAGTAGGCAGTCTATAAATGATATGAACAACTTGTTGAATAGCATAAGGTCAAAGAATGTGATGTAGTTGAGCTTGGTAAAACAATGCTCGAACTACATTTAAAAGATATTGATGTTGTTTGCGTTCAACAACTCTGTTTTGCTGAGGCGTTTCAACATAAATTATTTGATAAAGAATACCTTTGGATGAAAAACAATCAGTTAATAAAAATTCTACTTCATTGTCACTTTAAAAACAATTGAGTTTAGTATGAAATTGAGTTTCAATCAATGAAATGAAATGTATTAAATGCGTGCGGGTTTCATATTTGAATTTCATAAATTTAATCCAGGTAAAACATAAGTAATCATCAACTAAAGGGAGAAAATATTTGTAACCACAATTAGAAGGTACATATTCCCCATATGTGTCTATGAATGATGTCAAAAATTTTATGTGACTGTGTTTCACTACTATGATGAGACAATTTGCGTTGTTTAGCAAAATGACAAATGTCATAAGGAGAGGGATTTACAGAGTAAGGGATAAAATGATATTATTGAGAAATAATACGAAAAATAGAGTCAGAGACATGACCTAATCTATAATGCCAAAGAGAAGCATATTTGGGTTTGGTAGTAGTGATATGAGTAGAAACATGATGATGGTTGTGATAAGAGTAAAACAGATTTAGCACATTCAATCTTTGGTGCAAGCTAGCCGAATCAATCATCCTTTAAGAGGTTTGTTGTAAAATAACACAAGAGTTAAATTAAAAAAGGAGATGACAGTGCAAGGTTTGAATCGATTTTTAAATAAAAACCAGATTTACATGAAAATTGGGAACAAAAAGAACATCTTGAAGAATTAAGAAATCTGACAACATAATAATACAACATATAGGTGGAAACTTGGACAACATTTGACAAAGTAATGAAAATAGGTGAAATAGATTTATGAGTTACAAAATTATGAAAATCAAAAGGGATATGTATCCAGAAAACACTGAGGAGATGTTTTACCTAGAATAACAGAAGGAGTTTTAGGAAGAGTGGAAGAAGAATTAATCGAAGAATTGAACACCAAAGTTGTTATATGCATAAGAGATTTGGATTGTTGCAAAAGAGTTAGAATGTCATGATATTGTTCTTCAGTAAATTTAGGCATTGACCATGAGATCTCATGAAGGTTGGAGACGTTGATAGTAATAGGATCAGATGGAAAAGCACCAGATCATGTATCCACTATGTGATTTGTGTTTTCACAATAAATGCATAATTTATTACCATGAGAATATCTCCCTCCATTATTTCTGTCACGACCCCTTGGAAATGAATTACCTCTGTCATGTCCTTTATAGAAAGGATTCGACTTAGAAACATCATCATTCTTAGACTACAAATTTGGAGAAGTAATAGTAGCTAGGGCTTGCGAATCAAGAACAATTTCAGAACAATTAAGAACATAATGTAATTAATGTTCTTGTTGGATAACCATGTTAAAAACTTTGGTAATATTGGGAAGGGGATCGATTAACACAATCTGAGATCATACGAAGACATACTGATCATTGAGGCCTTTCAGAAATCGAATAACATAATTTTGTTGCTTACGTAACTCTGTAAGATTAGAGGAATTAGTGTGAAAATCAGTATAAGATTTGAACGACATAGGAATGGAGGAAGAAATCAAGAAATAACATATTATATCATCTTATTGTTCATACACGTACAATCTTATTGTTCATACATATGATGAAATTCATCTCTGTTTTTTAATAAGAGTTTCTTATGCTAAAAAGAAGTACAAATATAGTATATATAACCATGTAGAAAAGAAAGGAAAAAATTTGTCATAACTAAAAATAATATAAAAGAGAAACAAACAAGATTTATTATAGAAAAATAATTATAGTAATAATATCCACAAAATTTGAAATTAAAAGAAAAGAAGGTTAAATTAAAATTTAAAATTGAACCAAAATGATAAATACTTTTAAAGTTGATTATAATTTATTAAAATAACACATTTGCACGAACTATATAAATAATCCATTTAAGATGTATATATTAAATTAGTTATTAAACAATAATAGAAATAAAAAAATTAATATAAAAGACACAGTTTTATAATAGTGATATCACCTCCAAAATGAAGTAATCTTTCGTGTGAAGGATTAATTAGGTGATAAATAGAAAAAATTACTACCTAATTATAGTCAAAACATAAAATAAAATATAAACAAATTTTGTTTGGAGAACAAAGAGTTTTAATCTCTTCCGGTTAATATTTAAACAAGCATTAATTGATTATCCGTCACTAATAATTACTTTATCTTTTAAAAAGTATCTTTAAAAGTTAGATAATCTCTCTCTAGTAAAGACTTCCAAAACATGAAAAAGCTTCCATTATGTTTATTTGAATTGGTGCATGTTAATTTTTATAAACTCGTTATTGTTATGTGTGACTTTTAAATATTATGATGAGGTCCACAAGTAAAATAAAGTTAGCTTGTAATAATTTCACCCACAATTATTATTAAACGTGTTTATCAAAAATCCTTTTTCCGGTTTAAATTACTCTAAAATTATTATAACGCACACACCAATATCAGAATTACTATAATTACTCTTAAACTGGTTTTCACTGCATCTACTATACTTTACACTCACACTACCTTCAATAATATAAAAGTGAATTGAAAGGCAACAAAAGTTGGTACAAATGAATTGCATCTACTCTCACCCAGCCAAATAAATGAACTTTAAAATTCAATAAAATTGAAACAGTCAGGTTCAGAATAAAATGTACAGGAAGATAGAAAGGATTAGTTTTGGTGGGTGTGTATCTTAAATTCACAGCTTCAATTAACAGTTTTTTTTTTTTAGTATATTTTTATTTATCTCGCATAATATATTAATCCGAGAGTTTAACAATAAGGTTAATTGATCTATCGGTTATTTATTTTAAAAAATATTTATATATTCAATTAAAAATATTATATTATTTATATTAATTAATTGTAATTAAATAATTTAATTTATAAATATAATATTTTTAAATTTATATAATAAAAGATATTAATTAATAAATAAATATTTACAAAATATTTATATAATTAGGTGTCTTTTTAAAAAAATTATACAAAATTTTTATATATAAAAAGAATGACAAATCAACCTGTAAACCCGTTGGAGAATCAAAATCTACTATTTTATATAAGAATTAAAATAGGACAAATTTACCAGTTTTATAAGTTCTAAACAAATGGTTTAAAATGAGAATTGAAACCATCACTTATTTATTTATTTATTTGTATTTTAAATTTGAAAAATATTATTATTAAAAAATTATTTAAATAAAAAATTATATTATATAATTATTTTTATCGAATAATTATCTTTTATCTTTTATACACGTGTATTAAATAAAAATGAAAAATGAAATAGTTGATTCGTCGTAGTTTTTGTCATAAATATAATGTGAATTTTAATATAATTGAGATATATAATCTTAAAACGTTAATTAGATAAGTCAATATAAATAGTCCAATCCAATTTGATCTGGTCAACGGATTAAATAAAAAATTAAAAAAATAAATTTAAATAATAATAATTTAAAATAAATATAGGAAAGTAATTTTGTTCAGATGGATAAAAATAAAAAAAACGAAGAAATTTATTTTTTCATTATACAGAGTAAAAAAATTATATGAAAAATATTTCTATCAATTAATATAAATTTAAAATGTCGCCTTATTAGTTTCAATTTAAATTTATTAATTATTTAAAAACCATGTTAAAAGAAATTATTAGTTAAAAAAAACTATAAAAGGACATTTACATCTTATTTATTTGGCAAGATAAAATTATTTCCAAAATCGTTTTCCTTTTTTTTTTTTTTTTTTAATATCCAGTCAATCTAGACAAACAGAAATGATATATCCCTTTCAATGACTATACTTTAATATGATAGCGATGTAAGATTAGGGTTTCTAAGTTTAAATGAACATTTAGTATATACACATAAAACATTTTTCTTTTCAGATATATTGAAAATAATTAGAATACAATATTTTTATTATTATTATTATTATTATTATTATTATTATTATTAGCTTGCCATTTTTTTAAAATGTATTTCAAATATAAAAGAAGTTAACTTAAACGAATATGAAAAATACATAATTTACTTTTTAATAATTATTCTATTGGAAGTATTTAAATACATTGTATCATTTTAACTCAGAAAAAGCACTTAATTTGTATGCCATTAGATTTACTTTATATAAAATATTAAAAAAGTTTTTTAGATTTTAGTTTTTTAACAAATACAATTCTCATTTTCTCAAATCAATTTTATAAAATTAAATTAGATATTTAATGGTGATTGAAGAATCTATATGTGAAAAATGCAATGCCTCGTTAAAAGAAACAACATTTTCTCTCAAACATTTTCTGAAAGCCTGACATCTTACATAATTTCAGCATGCTGGGTGGTTTGAATTTCACCAAGCCATGAAAGAAAGCTGCCTTATGTCTGACCTTCCTTGTTCACTCACCAGACATGCCACGGACTAAAGCGCTTCCTTTCCTTTTTTTTTTTTTCCTTTTTTTCAAATTTAAAATTGTTATGTTATTTTCAATCTATTTTTTTCTTTTAAAAAATTCATAAATAAAATATTAAAAACAGTCTTTGTTTGTTTTTTCAGTTTTCTACATAAATATAGAAATATTTATTCTTGCTTACAATAATCTAAAAATTAGTGTCGGAGATAAACTTTTTACAAGTATCTCCATTAATTCCTAAGAAAAGAGATTCTCTTCCACATCACTACCATGTAAATAATTTAAGACACCATTTTATATTTTTTTTATTTAACATTCTACATTCTTTATTTAATGATAGAAGAAAGTGATAACAAATTTATAATAATTTTTAAGTTTTCTACATTAATTATATAATCATTAATGTAAAAAGTATTAGATCTATTTTATAGCTAATGTATGATAATTTCTATATTAATTATTATACAATAAATATGAAAAAGTATTTTAAGTCTCTTTAACTATAAATGTTTAGAGTACTATATTAGTGACTAGTATTAATATTTTTTAGTTCTCTTCTCACCACCATTACTTTGCCACTTTAGTGTCATGTAAAACAATAAAAACACACTAAGGATGGAATTGTAATTTGGGTGGATTTTTAAAATATTTTAAAAAGTACCTATTAAAAAATTATCTGAATTTTAGTAATTTTAATAAAAAGACTTATCAAATATCTCACTTTAAGTTTAGATGATAAAAGAGACATTAAATAATAGTTTTTTTTTCAAATTAATTAACAAATATCCTTAAATGCAATTAAAGATTAGATAACATAAATAAAGGAAAAAAAAGATAAATATAAATATTTTTACATTAATTAATCTCAACATAAGATTACATTTAGGTCTTGATAACACATCAAGTTTCAACAGGAAACAATGTTATTATTCATTATTTATTTCTTTTAATCATATCATGAGTTTTCTTTGACAAACTTCTGAAAAGATACACACGAGATTCTTTTAAAAGTTTCTTCAAACTTAATACACGATATTCTTTAGTAAGTCTCTCTAAGCTTTACAATATGAGTCTATTTTGGAAAAGTTTTCCAAACTCTACCACATGAATATTGTTTAACAAAAAGTCATTTTTAACTTATTCTCAAACAATGTCTTAATAAAGATTATTACTCACAACACTATTATTTTTTTAACACTTAGGATTTACCTCTTAAAGGATGAATACAATGAATAATCACTTTAAGATAACTCTAAGGATATGTAATAAGGAATAAGAGTTAATTTATCTTTACAAAAACAATTAAAAAATGGAAGCTTGTTTGAAATAATATTTTTAATATGTACAATGATTCTCCTCCTTTCTTTCTTTTTAGCTATATATAACTTCTTTTATAAAATAGTTGTTGCCTTAGCTTATGATTTTTATGAAGCAATTGTAAACTTCTTTTCTGCTTTTTTTAGTGTTTTTTTCTTACGTTTATTCTTTGTCTGATCCATATGTTTTCTTTCACCATGGTCACTAAGAGTAAGTATTGCTGACTATTTTAATCTTCTAATATTGCTTCTCTCTTATTCTCATGTTTGTCAAAGTTATGTCTTGGTAGATGTTTTTGGATTTTGAACGTTATGAGTGATTATCATTACAAATATTCTTCTCTTCTCATAAACATTATTTGCACAAAAAAATAAACAGATTAAGTGCATTGGTATTTTATAATGAAACAAATGTAGGTCTAAATGATACATCCATGAATATATATACTAAACAGGTTTTCAAATGCTTAGAATGCATCAAACTTAAAGTCTATTTATCATATCAGAAAATGATACATTAATTTTAAACCTAAGGTTTAGGGAAACGATGTACTTGAGAAACATGAAAAAAATATGCATATCATATATCATACAATGTAAATCTTATGCATATATAAATTATGTAACTTTAAGCTAAGGTATGTTCAAATGATGTGCGATAGTATTTAAAGACTTATATTAAAGGATCAGTTGTTATGTGAAACCTCTTAAAGAATAAAATATAAAGAAAAACTCTTAGATCATGGATAAAGAGGCTCATGGATATCCGATATCCATGAGCTTTGATCCGGTAACTACCATGCACGTATCATGAATCACCGATAAAAATCGGGACTTTCTGCAGCTACCTCGGCTGTTGTTCTCTTCGCTTGTTTCTGGAGGAACCGATTCCTGTGCAAAATGGTTGGCCAGCGTGCTTCCCAACAACCTAAGCCCTTCACGTTTTGGAAGTCTGCCCCTGTATATATATATATATATATATATATATATATATATATATATATATATATATATATATAGATATAGATATAGATATATACAATACACAACCCTGTTTCTGAAGCCCTAGGGTGACGCGCCAGATAATTATTACCACCTCTTTTGTTTTTTTCTATTGCATAGAAAAATTATCACTAAGATATGTGGTTTTAATTTTATAGTTTTTGTTTTTGTTTTTGGTGGGGAGTGATATGAAGTGAATTGTGTACTCATGAGCTTTAGAATCTAAAGTACGAAAGAGGAACAGCGAGGGGGTGAGTAAAGTACTGAATCGTTAGGCTTTGTCAAAGTATTGTACATAAAAAAAGTAAAGAAGATAGAAATTGGAAGGGGATGCTCTAAGACTGATGCATATAAATAAAAACTGGGAAAGGTTTAGAGTTTGGGCGCTGTCAAGAGTGGACGTGACATGAGGGAGTGGGCCAAGACCCATGCGTCGTCAGTCTTCTGTTGTGTCGTGTCAAACCCTCGTTTCACCCTCTCTTCTTCCTCCAATTCTACGTTTTTATCTAATTATATATATATATATATATATATATATATATATACATATATATATATATATATATATATATATTATTCGTTTTTAATTACTCTTTACTGTACAGGATATTTTTAACTAGAGCTATTTTTAAAAATAAAATATGTTATTTTATCATTAGAATGACTTAAAATATATCTGAATTATCTAATCGTATATTTTAAAAATATAACTCATGTTAAAATAACATGTTTTACTTTATTAATCTATTGAAAATTCCTATAAATCACGTTCACTGAATATTTCTAATGATTGGATTAAAAAAAATTATTTTTTTAACATGATTACCGGTATACACATAATTCATAAAATTGTTATCCAATTGATCGTTTATGAAATAAAAAATAATATCAATGCTATATTATCTCTATCATTTTTTTCTTTCTTAAATTATAATTTTATGAAATTTAAATTGAATACGTATAACTATATAGGCTCTACCATACATATATTTAAATTTACATTTTATTTAATTTTAAAAAATAATGTGATTTTAATTAATATTTAAATTTTAATAATTCCTTTTTAAGTGTGAATTTTTATACATAATAATAATTATTTTGTACTAAATTAAGTTGGTTAACTTGACTTTGATATTATAATTTGATTTTTTAGGGGAGTGAACATGGCTATTATGCAAGCATCTTAACACAATTTCTATTAATATAAAAGATCATCTCAATTTCAACCAACTTCATGGTTATAAGATGAAAATATGAAAGGAAAAAAATATATAGAGAAAAGAGATAGAGTAATAATATTGCGAAAAATAGTCTTGACAATGATTAAGAAAAACAATACAACCCTTTATTTTTAAATTAGAATGGATTGACATGTAACTAAAATTAAGTATTTTATTAAAAAATCATTCAAAATGACTCCATCACTTTCTTATAATCTTAAGAATATAAGGTGTTTCATTGAAAAAAATATCACATTTATTAAAGAATTATAAATATAAGCTTAGTCTCATCAACTATTACAAAGTCATAAAAGAACCTAAAGACATTAAAAGATACGTGAAATTTAGTATCTATATCATACATCAAATAAATAAGAATATATAAGAAAATATAATATTATTTTTAATCTAAAACTTTAACATAATAGATTTATAGGTGTTTATTGTTTATATTCAGTTTTACTATTTATGTTCAATATACGACTTCAGCTCATTTGAATTCTAACCTATTTTCTTTTTTAGTCGTAAATTATAATTTTATGAAAATTAAATTAAACATGTATAACTACATTGACTTTGACTTCCACATATATTTATGAAACTTCAACTCATTTATATTTCAATCATTCCTCTTGAATATGATTGTTATATATTGTAATCCTTAAGTTATATCCAACTGAAATGGTCATCAAATAAATTTAATTTTGATACTATTGTTGGATTTTTTATACACCACTGCTATATAAACACCTTCTTAATACAAATTCTTTTCACCTAAAAAAACACCTAATTTTCAACTAATGATATAAGATGAAAATATGATAGAAATAAAAAATAATGACAAAACAAAGAAGATAGAATAAGAATATCATAGAGAATAGATTGAATGATAATAATTGAAAAAAACAATCCAAACCCATTTATTTATAGGTAAGAATAGATTGATACAAAACAAAAATTAGGAGTTTTATTGAAAATCCACTCCAAATGACAACATCATTTTCTTAATATTTTAAATATTATTCAAAAAAGTGTCATACTTGTTAAAGAATTAAACATGCAAGTGTGATTTCATAAACCGTCGCAAAGTCATAAAGAACCACAAAGATGGGATGATTCGCTTTAAAAGCATTAAAAGATACCTGAAATTTGTTAGAAGACGAAAATACGATATAGAAATAAAGAAATGACGAAGAAAAAGATAAAATAAGAATACCACATACAACCGATCAAATGAGAATGAATGCAAAAAATAATACAAACCCCATTTTTCGTAGGTTAGAATGGATTAACATGCAAATTTACGTGTTTATTGAAAATTCATTTCAAATCGTACCATCACTTTCTTAATATTGTAAGGACATAAAGATGTTTAATTGAAAAAAGTGCTACACTTGTTAAACAATTATATTATTCATGCAAGTTTAGTCGTATAAATCTCCACACTCTTAAAGAACCATAAAATGAGGATGATTGATATAAGGACATAAAAATAAGTGGGGATGATTGGTATTAAGACATTAAAGGATACCAGGAATTTGTTATAAGATAAAAATATGATAGAAAAAAAAAATAGAGAAAAGAGATAGAATAATAATAGATCAAATGAGAATGAATGAGAAAACCAATACAAACCCCTTTTTTTTTAATTTAGAATTGATTGGCATATAATCAAAATTAAGTGTTTCATTGAAAATCCATTCAAAATGGTATCATCACTTTCTTAATATTGTAAAGATACAAAGTGTTTCATTGAAAAAAAGTGTCACACTTATTAAACACTTCTATATACAAGTTTAGTGGTATAAACCATCACAAACTCAAAGAACACATAGAGTGAAAGTTGATTAATACTAAAGACATTAAAGAATATCTAAATTTTGTTATATGGTGAAAACATGATAGAAATAAAACAATGACAAAGATAAGAGATAAAATAAAAATATCATAGACAGAATGACAATGATTGAGAAAAACAATGCAAACTTATTTATTTATAAATTAGAATATTGACATGTAACCAAAATTAATTATTTATTTGAAAATTCACTCTAACTGACACCGTCACTTTCTTAATATTTTAAGGATAAGAGGTGTTTCATTGAAAATAATTTCATTTTTTAAATATATGCATTCTTATACTCAGACTATCATAGGTCATAATTAAAAAACACGATATAAATTAAAAAAAATGACACAGAAAAAGAATATCACAGAAAATACATTATGAGAGTGATTGAGAAAAAAATTCAAACTCTTTTATTTATAAGTTAAAATGGATTAATATGCAACCAAAAATTAGGTGTTTTATTGAAAATTCACTTTAAATGACACAGCCACCTTTTTTTATATTTTAGGGATACAAGGTATTTAAGTACAAAATTTAAAGAATTATATTACAATCTTAGTCTTATAAACAATCACAAAATCATAAAAAAAATACAAAGTGTTGGATGATTAGTAATAAAAATATTGAAGATATCTAAACTTTGTTATCTATTTCATGCATCAAACTCTAAGGAAGAAGTTACAAGTAACGTTAAGAAAATCTTACATCACCTTAATCTAAATCCTTAAAAGAATAAATTGTTAGATCTTTTTATCTAATCAGAAATAAAACTCACTTAAATTCTAATATATTCTCCATAAAAATAAGTAATATATATATATATATATATATATATATATATATATATATATGAAGAAAATAAAAATTAATTTTTTATATATATTAAATTAATTTTTGTATAAATTAATTATAAAAGTTCTTATGTCAATTTTTTTGAATTTGAATTTTGTATAAATTAATTTTACTTTGTGAAAATATTTATTTTTATTATATTTTAAAAAGTAGTTATTTAATGGAAGAGGGATCTGCAAACTCCCATAGATAATATTATACCGATTTCTTTTTTAAAATGTTAACCATTTTTAGCAAAGGGTTTTGGGTTTGAAACTCAGTTGAACATGAATCTATTATCCCCTCTACGCTCCTTTTTTTTTCCGCATCGGAAAGTATATTCTAGTTGCTGGAAAGACGAATCCTTTTTTTTTTCTTTTTCAATTTTGACTTTATTTGTTATTTTTCCAGTTTTTTTTTGTGATACACTAATTTATGAGAGAGGAAAAATAATAGTTTAAGGTTTTTAAAATTTTAAAATGTAAACCATTACACACATTCCAAAGTTAACATATGCTAGTTTATCGAGGTACAAGATTAATTTTACAGAAAACAAATCCCATGAATTAATTCAACAAAAAAAAAAAATGGATTTGAAGCAAAAAGTTTTCAAACTTATAAATATGCCAAAATCTAAACTAGATCCTTTTGGTTAGCTTTATACTTTACAATAACTAGGCTGATATTGGATAACTTTTGTCATTTTCTATTGTTTTGGGTGTACGAACGAGCAAAAGGTGCCGATGGTAATGAAAGAATACAAGTAAAATAAATGAGAGTAAGTAATTAGTGATGAAACAAATTGTTTCAAGTTTAAATGAGTTGCGTATAAAATGTATAATAAAATGAAAAATTATGGTTAGCAATTTTATTGAATCCACATAAAATGATGATGTAAAAAGTAAGTATATCCAGATAAAATGCATGTAATGGTGCATTGGAGGCACCGGGAAAACAGAGAGAGAGGGAGGTTTTAATGGACTTTATTATCCAGGTACCTTTTGATGTTAACCCAACCCCTCTCCACTCTCCTTTTTCCCAACAGGCGTGACCTGACCCCCCGAGCCCCCCCTTCACACTACACAAAAGATAATTAAAAGGGAAAAACATAACAACCCAATGCATAAAACAGAATACCAATTTAACCTTTTAAATTAGTCAGAGAAATGGAGAGTTGAAAAAAAAAAATGAGAAAGTTACTCTCTCCTTTCTTTCCTCCTCCTACTACACGACCAAAACTATGCCATTACAGGCAAGACCTAAAGTTTGAGACACACCGCACCAAAACCTAGATAGAATCAACTACTGTACCACCTCGCTCCTCTCGAATAACAAGAGCAGGGAAACCCACAAAACTCGCTTATTTTGCTTCGTTTCTTTTCCACTTGCTTCAAGATGCCCCGGCCAGGCCCGAGACCTTACGAGTGCATGAGGAGAGCTTGGCACAGTGAGCGCCACCAACCTATTAGAGGTTCCATCATTCGACAAATTTTCAGGTTTTGTTTTGTTTTTGTTTTTTGTTTGTCTTTTTTTTTTTTTTTTTTTCTCCTTCTTTTGTTTAATGCTCTGTTTGTTCCGTCTGATTTGTAACCGCGCGTGACGTGTTTGATTAGGGTCGCCATCGAGTTTCACTCGCGGGCTACTAAGAACAACAAGGAGTGGCAGGAGAAGCTCCCTACGGTTGTCCTCCGAGCCGAAGAAATCATCTACTCCAAAGCCAATTCCGAGGTTGTTCTCTCTGCTAAAACAAAATGCATGTCGCACATTCTTAGATCTTTCTCCTTAATTTTTGTTTCCTATGCTTAGGCAGAGTACCTGAACCCCGACACGCTCCTGGACCGCCTCAACGATGCCATTAACACTATCATTCGCAGAGACGAAACCAACGAGACCGGTCAGTTTTTGCCGCCATGCGTCGAAGGTACTCTGAAAATTTTCACCTCATTTCACATCTCGTTTGAAATCTTTCAAAATCTGCTTTTGTCATTAAGAATTCTAATATGTAAGCGGATTTTTGTTTTGTTTTTCCTTTTGTTAGCTGCACTTAACATTGGTTGCAAGCCTGTGAGAACATCAAGAAGTGATAGGCACAATAACCCCAGGACTTACCTTACATCAAGGAATCAACAACACCCTTGTTCTGTTTCTCCCAAAACTGTTGCTAGCAGCAATGGTTTACACTTTCTTCCAGTTTCGTATTCTAGCCAGCACACGAGCCAAAATAACTACCCGATATTAAACAACTTTGCTGCTTTTCACCGTCACCAACCCTTGACAGTGGAAACTAACCCCTTGTTGAACTTGGGTTCGATTTACCCATTATATTATGGTTTTGAAGCCCAAGAGCCTCGACTGCGGATCAACAACCTAGGAAGCACTTGTTCTGATACTATCTTTGTTGGCAGACCCGTCGTTAGTCCAGCCTTGGAGCCAACCAGAATAGATCCATTAGAGAACTTGTCCTATGGTAGAGTCCATCACGCACCAAACAGAATTGTGAAAGAAACTGCAGTAAGCTTTGTGGAGGAGTCGCGAGACGGGGAATGTGATTTGTCTTTGAGGTTGGGTATATGTTTGCAGAGTAACAAAACAAGGTCAGCATATGAGTTAGAAGATGTCAGGCTACGAGTGTCTCAGGGGGCTAGGAAATTTGGCCACTCATCTCAACAGATCAACGCAGGTTACTGTTTTTACCCTAGAGGAACTGGTTATGGTGCCATTTAGTGCATGTTTTGGGAACAAGCTTCTTTTGGGGAACATAATTGTTTTTTCAGTTTTCTTGAGAAAATAACAAAAAATGATTATTTCTACCAAATATGCTAAACCAAATGTGCATTTATACCGTGATGTTGAGGGGTGATCAGAACATGGACAACTTTTCAGAAGCGCACGAATCTAGGTAGCTAAGAGGATGGATAATTTTGCTGGCTATGACAGTTCCCTCCAATCTGTTCTCTGGTTGAATTACTGGGTCAGGTTTGTAGTTTGTCTTTCTCATTGTAGCTTATGTGTTTTTCCAATTCTAATTGATCCATTGCTTTTCATCCTCTCACGTGGATTCTGTCTGTAGCTCTGCATGTAAAAATTTAGGTGGTGACATTGATTTTCCCTTTGCATTGCAGCAAAATTGCTCTGTATATTAATATTCGCATGCTTTGTTTTGTTTCTACTTGACTCAGAATAGATCAAATTAGAGAGAAATAGAAACATATGTCTTAAATGAATGCTCATATACCCCAACTTAAATGTGTGGCCTGATTGAACTAAAAAATTATGTGTCAAACACTTGACAGATGTACTAGGTATTTCTGCTATCTGAACGAGCTTAAATTCATATAACCAGGAGTTAAATCTGCTAACTGTAATTACGTCTCAGTTACTATCAGCTCCCTTAACCCAAATCTTTGCTGTGCAAAATGATGTAAAATGCAAATGATGAACAGAGAAAGAGGCCATAAGATGCATTTTTTTGCATTGTAATCAGTCAATTACATATGTACATACAGAAAAGTTCCATTTTTGTAGTATTTAACATGACTTAATTGATGTATGGCAACATAGAACTGGCTGGTGTTTAGAATAATTGACAACGATTAATTTTTTAAGTCAATCAATCTGTCTTGATATTAGAAGCGTGCTTCACTGTAATAAAAGGATAAATATGAGATCTCATTATTGATGCATTTGGGCTCTTGGTCATAACATTTTGATAATGGACATCAAACTCAATTCAAGATTTAACCGTGACAATTTCACGGTAATACTATCTTAACTTTTGCAATGCAATTTCTTTACAGGGATGGCAAATAGGCCTATGTAGTAGTGCAGGCGCATTTATGTATTCAATGCACTTACAGAATGCAAGTTTTGTCTTGAAGGAAAATAAGTACTTTACAATATTTTTGGTGAAACTGTTGCTACTCACAATTTTCATATGATAAATAATTAAATTTTAGTAATATAGTTTTGTAAGTATTAAGTTTAGTTAAATCAAGATTATAGATATGTAACACAGATGCAGCATGATTAAGATTATAGTCTCAGACTGATCATTATCACGTAACAAAAAAATTAGATTTATTTTTTATATTCACTTTTATTTCTTGTAATTATTATGATTTATCTTAGATAATTAAATTAAAAAAAATCTATAATTCTTAGTTTTTAGGAAGTGGATCCGTCATGGAATTATATGTATAGCTAAAGTAAAATGATCTCCACGCTCAATAATACGTATATATTTATTTAAGGTCGCATAGCATATGATGTACTTTGAATGAGTAAAAGTTGTATGAATAATACATGTAATAACATTTCAATCAAATAATAGACAATAGTGCATTTTAGATATTCATTAATAGTTAATAAAATTTACAGATTTTATTTATAAATAAATGGTTTAATTAGTGTAAATTATATATATATATATATATATATATATATATATATATATATATATATATATATATATATATATATATATAGTTTGGTCAACAATAGAGGACAAAAATTACGTCGCATATTATTTACAGTGTGTATCATGCATTTTATCTAATGAATACATTTTTAATGAAATCATTAGACATTCGATGTAACTATGATGCACAACGTGAAAAAAACTATTTATCTTCTTAAACGATATATATATATATATATATATATATATATATATATATATATATATATATATATATATATATATATATTATACAATATGAATATAAACTTAATCATGCCATACAAAATTTTTAAATATTGTAAATCTTTCACACGATTATGCTTTTGATAAGATAACTAAATTTTGATGTTTTTTAATGATTTATTTAAGTTTGGATCTAAATTGTATCATTTTTATGGTGCAAAACAATTTTTTTGTTATCATCTTAAAAAATATCAAACTTTATCATGTTATGATGTAATAAATATGATGACAGATCATCCAAACATTTATATTAGATCAAGAGAAAAAAATATAAAAATATAAAAATTTCACAAATTGTCAATTTACTTATTTTTATTCAAAAGAGTTTTTCTCAAGATGATTTGCTTCTTTTTTGTATAGAGCATACAAAGGTCCACTCTTTTCATCAACTATCCTCCCGTCCTTTGTATATGACACCCTTTCTCTTTCCTTTTTCTTCTTCTCATTCATGTCTTCTTTTTCTCTTCTTTTTTTTTACTCCTTTCTTTATCTTCTTCTCCCTATCCTTTTCTTGCTTTCTTTTCTCCTTTGGTTTCTATCAACTAAAAGGTTTTAAGTTTTATTGTGTGAAGAGATTCACATGATGTTTGGTGGTGGAGAAAAAGACTTGGCAGGTGTAGTTTGATGATAAACACCAACAAATCAATAAACAATTATCTTCCAATTGATGGCATGAGCTTCAACTTATATTCTATTTGCTAGATTCTACTTAGTAGTGGCTCTAGTTATGATGAGATAATGTTGAATGGCTTGAAACTCTCCCTTTGTTATTGGTGGCTCAAAGATTATCAAGGTGGAGTGAGATTCTTTCTCTACAACCACATGAGTAACTTCATCATGGAAGATAAAAATATAATAAAGAAGTTTTACTCTAAAATTGAAATCACTGCCCAGTCTTCCATGAACAAAGGCTTAAACTATCACACACAAATAGGTTGCTCCCCCCAATGATAGAAACATTGCCAACAAATTTACAATAAACATGGGTGATGACTTCTATTTAGATTCCAAGTACTGCAATATTACTCAAACCAAGATTTTCTATTGAGAAGATTCAGATCTTCTGAAGTGTGATACAAAGATTTCTTAACCCACATGGCTTGAATTTAAACTATAAAGCCTGTGCCAGGATGAGCACACACAAACTTTGTGTAGGAATATATTTTTCTTGAATTAGGATCTCCTTGCACTTGTAACATGGGAAAGGAAGACATGGTACCTACGTATCTGGAGCTAGGAAGAAGGTTGTATCAGAAGTACATGTCTTAATCTAAAGATCGTTTCCTTTTCTACAAAAGTCTATAGGAATTCAAATGTTGTTGAATCTCTTGATGAAACATGTTGGCCATCAACTAAACTTCACAAACTAACACCATTGACTATGCTACGTACTTCCATCAATGTTTTAAGGTGAGTTTATGACAAAGGAAGTATAGATTTATTCCTGTCATGTGAGAGACGGATCATATCTTGGAGAAAAAGAATCTCCAAAGATGTGATACTTTCGTCATCTACACTGTTGAACCAGTCTAATGTGCTCCCATGAGAGTTCCAGCAAATATCTTGTACTTCAATACATAGGATCCTCTGCTAATCAATATTTGAACTCAGAAAGGGTTAATCAATATTTAAATGAAGCTAAGGATCTTGAGAACCAGTAAAGGGTTAATGAGGAGAATAGGTTCATTCAAGATTTAGAACGAAAAGGACTGAGAATCATGTAGATTAGACAATGGACTCAAGTCCAATCTTCTTGAATTACAGATATTTTGGAGAGGAGTAATAAGTAGATTATGAAAAATGGAACATGAGCGACGCCATGAGCGAATCATACAAAGGAATATAAGATTCCTTCAACCCAAAAACTTAAGTTATGAGTATTGCACTACTAGTTCAAGTGGACTTTTCACCTATTTTAATATTTTCATACCACCTTAAGTCATTAAGATTATAATTTTTTCTTATTTATAAATTATTCAAATTTTTCATTTGTACCTAATAAGTAACTTCTGCTCACAGTGAATTCTCATCACTTTTCGTCCTCATCGCAGTTCATCATTATTTTATTTTTTTGAGTTTTTGTTGTGTCGGAGTGATTCCTCTAGATACGATGAGATTCTTGGTTCTCCATTATTGTTCTTGGGCAAGGCCCTCTTCCAACCTTTGGTGGGCAGCTACATTATGTTGACGCATCTCTGGATCTCGTGAGCATGACTTGACCTAAAGACAGGGTATCTTCCTCTATCATTGTCTCATTGGTAATGGTTTAGCTTTTGGTGGGGTTTTAAAGACTAGTTTTTTTTTTTTTTTTTAGAGATTAGCTTTATTAAACGTCAGGAGAGGGACGAATGTCTATTTGCAGCGAGACTCTTAGGGTTTGAACTACAATAGTGGGGTGGTCTAATAATTATTTAGGTCGCAATTATTTCTATGTAGAAATTATGATATTATTATTTTTTTTTTTGGCAGAAATTACAATACGTGACCAATCTCGTGAAAGGGTCAACCCAAAATGTACCGTAACCATGAAAAGATTAAATCTTGCAAATTGCAGACATGTTATAATCCGTAAGCAACGGAAAGAACAGAACACTAAACAAGAATAACTGAGGTGTGGGCTTTATTCAAACTAACACGAGAAGATGACTTTAAGAAGCCACAACATTTATTGAAACACGAATAAAATGTATGCAGTGAATGTTCAACGAATGGGAATAATGAAAAGCTCTACGTATACAAGCCCTCAAACTTTGAAGGTGGTAGTGAGCATGTGCAAAGCGAAGCAGGAGAAGAATGCGACTAAGATTCCGAACGAGATTGGTGGGGCAGCGGAGTCTGGTTGAGGAGAAGAAGGTGCTTCGGAGTTTAGAGAGCGAACGTTGATACTGAACTTCTGGCCTCTTGCACAGTGATCACCGACAGTGCAGAGGAAGTAGTAAGGCCCAGTTTCAGGAATCGTATATCGGAAACTGCTTCCAATTAGTAGACCTACTGCGCTGGTGTTGCAGTTGTCGTAATGCGTAGCCTCTCTCTCAATTCCCACCATATGATCCCCATTCCAGTTGAAAACTGATCCACAGCACACCACAACATCAAAAACATTGAACCACCTTAATATATAGTTTTGAGATGACATTAATATGAAAGAACTTGAATTATACAGTAGGTGAAGAATGTGCTTACAGAGATTGTCACCGACGAAGAATGTCTTGTTGCTAGCCCAGTCTATATAGAAGCTCTCGTTGGTGGGTACGTTCCATCCGAAGCTGTCACCAACAGTGTAATCTGCTGCTTCAGACACATCAATGATGGAAAGCATTGCAACTATGGAGCAGATCCATATAATGTTCAAACCCACGTTCCTTCCCATTTTCCTTTTCTGTATTCTGCAGGTCGTCCCTATTAGAATTCTGTTCTCTGATGTTCTTTCTGAACGCTTGATGAAGAGTATAAGATGTTTGTGTTGTGAGATTTGATGGAGGACGATTTATATAGACGCAGGGGAGAAACTATTCACTGATATTAGAATTTTCAAACGTGGTGTTCATTTTGAACAAGTTTGTGTGGGTATGTATTTAATAACTTCGTTCAAATTGTTTTCCTAAGTTCAGTAGATTACGTGATGCCTGCACCATTCTGAAAGTTCTTTGTTTTTGGAAGCAGTCATTGTAGATTACGGACTGACATAGTCATGCGCTTGGTTGCTTCAATCCATGCTATGTTGCATATTAAAATTGATATTTTGACTGAATTGGTAAAGAAACAAGATCATATGACATCAGAATTTAAGAGTTGATTTGAAATTTAGCCGCATGTAACCAAATTTAATAAAAATAATATTATTTAAACTAATATATGTTATATAAAAATTATTTTAAAAAAACTATTTTTATTTTTTATCAACTTAAAAATTCTACTGATTTTATTCAATTTTTGAATTAATTTATTTTTTATCGTCTGATTTTTAAAATAGTGATTAATTATTTTTTTTATAAAAATATAGTTTTTTTTTCTATATTTGATTTAATGTTTAAATATGTAAAGTATATAAATTGATTTTGAGTATGACAAATTAATTATATATCTGAATATTATAACTTAATTATAAAATAATCTTTACTTTAGTTTGAAATTGGTACTTAAAACTATATTTCAATCATAAAATTATCTTGTGAAATTGATAGTTAAAATTATATGTAAAAATCTTTTTTACTTATTAATAAACTAATGTTAATTTGCTCTTTTTAGAACTAAATTATATAAACGTCTAATTCTTCGCCATTTATCATTTGTTATTGAGTATTTACTGAATAAGAACTTTTAGGTTCTCCATAGAGTTAACAATTTTTTTTTATAATTATAAAGAAAAAAATTGTTAAAATAATTAGATATGATGTTGAAAAAATTATCAAAACTGAATTAAATAACTCCATGATTGCACATAAAAAATGTTAATGTGTAAAAAAAAAGCCTATAAAGTTTGTGTATTAAATTGTTATTTTTTTTTAATATTTACGTAGTTAATTTGTGTTTTTTTTTTCTGATTTAAATGTCTGTTCTGATGCTTGACTTTTCTTAAGTCCGTAAGTTGACCGTGTTTACCCCAGACTATGTCTATGAAAGAAAATTCTGGTCCTAATTAACCACACACAGCACGAAAGTTTGAAGGGTTAAATATATTTTAATTCGCATACTTTTTTTTTTTTTTATCAAATTTGACTTTTATCATAGGTATACAAATGAATTAATTAGTCTTTCAATTTATAAAAAATAAGAGTTTTAATTATTTTTTAATTAAATATGAATAATTTTTTCATACCTAAAATTAATATTTAATAATAATAATAATAATAATAATAATAATAATAATAATAATATTGTTATTATAAACTTGATAAAATAATTAAGTTCACATATTTTTTTTTAATTTGAGAATTAATTAATTGACTTTTAAGTATAGAGACTGAAATAAAATTTGAAAAAAAACGAAAAACATATTTAATATTTGTGTTAAATATATTGTTGGTGTTAAATGTTGGCAGTGTACTTAAAAAAAAAGTTTGATCCATTGTAATTTTAATCAAGTTTTTATTTTTAAGAAATAAGGTAACTTATCTTAGATTTGTCAACTCAAAAAGTTTTATGTCTTGTGTCAATTAAAAAGAACTACTCACTTTGACATGTGAAATATGGTAATGCACGCTTGAGGTTGATATCAAAATTGTAAAACTACAACAATGTTATAGGACTTCCAATATCTCATTTAAAGACAAGTTTATTCGTGAGACATGTATTCAAAGATAAACGAATTAAAAAATCTTTTAAAATAAAAAAATTATCTTAAGAAATCACTTGAATAGTTTCATATTGACTCATACGACCCAATGAAAACCATGGGAGCAAAAGATATGGTGATGATTACACTAGATTTCCTAACCTACAAGAAAACTATTTTGAGTTCTTTTAGCGTCAATTGATATAATCACTCATTACTAGACGTTAATTTTTGTCATCATCAAATGACCTTGTTATTCATCAGAGATTGGTTTCTTATAACTTCTCAACAACTAATATTATGAATTCATCCATCAGAAGATAGTCCTTTGCAAGTTAACAACAATAGGATTCTCTCACTTCATGCTTTAAGATTTGATGTTGCCAACATTACAAGATTTTGAACAATATCCTTCTTATAAGTAATCAAATTCTTCTTCGAAGTAGAACTGTATCACCTGGTTCATTAACTAAGGAGAATAAACACTTTAATTTTTTCCTAGATGAGATGGTTTTCACAAATCTATTATCTTCATTTTCAAAAATTAGTTTAGTTAATCTTTAACAAGTCGTTTTATTTGAACTTATGTTCCTATAATTATAATGACTTTGATATATTTTTTTTTCAATCAAACATGTACTACGCTTTTTGAAAAATTCATAGCATTGTTACTCTTTGCGAAAACCAATTTTCATATTTCCGTAAGAGAAAAGTTCTTCAAATCTTATTGTCCCTAGTTTATCCAAATGAATAAATTAGTAAGTCTTTCAATAATTCTATTATATTACGCTTTGCACTGTTATAATACTACAAGAAAAATGACATTTAGCCACCGAAATTAGCGACCGAATTTTTTCGGTCGCAAATAGCGACCGATTTAGCGACCGATTCAATTTTGGTCGCAAATAGCAACCGATTTAGCGACCACTTTAATTCAGTCGCAATTAGCGACCGATTCAGCGACCACTTTAATTCAGTCGCAATTAGCGACCGATTTAGCGACCAAAATATGAATTGGTTTTCATTTTGTTATTTAGCGACCGAAATAGCGACCAATAATTTGCATCGCAAAATTTCGGTCGCTAAATCGGTGGCTATTCCACACTAAAATAAAAAAATCATTTAGCGACTGATTTAGCGACCGAATTACAAATTGAAATAGTGACCGAATTATAATCGATCGCTAATGAGAAAATAGCGACCGAATTGAAATCGGTCAGCTAATGAATATTATTTTTTTATTATATTTAATTTTTTTTTATAAATATACTTTAATTTTTTAGTATATTTTTTACAATTTATTTTTTAAAAGTAATTTAGTTTTTAAAAATAATTTAATTTTTAAAATATACTTTAAAAATAAACTTTGGTCTCAATATTAACAAAATGAATTGTAATAAATCAAATTTATTAAAAATTTAAATTGTAATAAATTAAGACTAGAGTGATGTTAACTATTCAATACATTGTTTAAGAAAAGTTTAATAACAAATATTCTTGAATTTATTTTTCAATTGAAAATTTCAATTGAAATTAATTTATATTTTAAAAATTTATATTAAAAAATTGAAGAAAATAGAGATTTAATTATACTTTTAATAAATTTAACATAATAATAGTTTTGATTTTTATTTTTAAATATTTATTTTAATTTTTTAAAACAGAGAAACTATAATTTTAGTTTCTAAATACTAAATTTAAAGAGTTAAATTTATTATTATTTAATCTTTTAATTTTAGTATTAAAAATTTAAATTATATTTTAATACCTTGAGAATGAAAAATATAATTAAACTAAAACTGAAAATATTATAATACATTTTTGAACTCTTTTTGATTAATTTTTTGTTCCTAATTTTTTATAAAGTCAATTTTAATATTTAAAAGTATTTAACATTTTGCTTTCGAAATGTTTTCTCGTATTACCAAATTCCAACTATGAGAGAAACCGAGTGCCCAAATTCCAGGCACCAAACAATACAAAAAGAATGTAAAGAAATGAAAAAGAAGAAACTAGAATGCTCAAACCAGTTTATGCAATTCTGCTGTAAGTGTTTCTTCTTCAAAAGAAATCAAGTTGCCTCAAGAAAGATTTTCAAAGAACTTCTCAAAAACCGATGCGAATCTTTCTTGAAAAGAGTCTTGAAGTTTGCTTGATTGATTGCTCAAGGATGTGTAAAAGATGATATTCAATGTATGTTAAAAAAGTTCAAGCCAAACTGTTTTAATAGAAGATTTTCAAAACTGCTCGATTTAATTAATCTGTTAAAAGATTCTTTTAATCTGTTAAAAGTGCAGTTTTAATCTGTTAAAACTTCTTTTAATCCATTAATACGTTCTTGATTCTTTAACAGATTTGTTTTAAGCTGATACGACAACGTTTATATCAATTAAAACACTTTACAAAAAATCCTCTAAGTTGATTTAATCGATTGTTTCACGATTCAATCGATTGAAATACTTGCAAAACTTTCTTGTAAAACTTTTCAAGTTATTTTAATCGATAAAAATAAGTTTTAATCGATTAAAACTCGTGTAGAAATTTTTAAGTTGTTTTAATCGATTGAAACAAGATTTAATCGATTAAAGTCGCTTCGATCGGTCATAATTGCATTATGATCGATCATCCTGAACTCTTAAGTGATTTTAATCGATTAAAATCAAGTTGTATCGATTAAAATATTGTCATTTCGCTTGAGCGACGCTGGTCTCGCTCGAGCGAAACGCCTCATCGCACAAAATTGACATTCTCGGGTTGTATTTCGCTTGAGCGACACTACTCTCGCTCGAGCGAAATACGATTCTGATCGATCAAAACTTGAAGTGATCGATCATAATTTAGAGGATATAATAGCGGTTAGGAATTAACCGCTATCTAAAATGTATTTAAGATAGCGGTTATGGGTTAACCGCTATCTAAATCATATTTTAGATAGCGGTTAAGCGTTAACCGCTATTAGAAGTGTTCTTCGCTCAAGCGAAAATGAAATCGCTCGAGCGAAACGCCCCGTGCACAAAATTGGCATTCTCGGGTTGTATTTCGCTTGAGCGACTCTAGTCTCGCTCGAGCGAAATCCGATTCTGATCGATTATATT